TCATGATTCATGAGCGGACACCAACAAGCCAAGGACTTGCCCAGACGTCGATCAGAGACTCCATCGGGGCCTCATAATTCGCCTCTTCCTCTGCCACTCCCCTCCCCTCCCCCTGTCGCGGATGTCCCGGATTGTCTCTGATCTCTCTCCACACGGTCTAATTTCAAAAGTACAGAGACCATGCACCTTTCCAGTGCAGCTCTGCCGACAGGGGTTTGGAGAGATTAGGTACAGGGTACAAACTTCCCGGTGGGGGCGGGCTAATGGAACAATGTAATCTCTACCTATAAGATGAGGGACGGGGTGGGTTGCGCTGGCGTCCCAGTCAAGTCAAGGTACGAGTACCCGTAATCGATATCCGCTTGACCGTAAGTCTCTTACCGAAAAAAGCGCGATGGTGGGAATTTCCCGAGGGTGGACCCGGCGCCCTGAGGGTTGCCAAGATTCCCTTGGTACTCCGGAGGAAAAAGAGTACGTGTAGGTATTCAAGTAGGTATTCAAGAGGAATATAAGCTGTGGTAAGGAATGGTGATATAGTGTAAATGTGATGTTACATTCGTTGAGTTAAGTTAAGTTGACTAAAGGACTGTCTCCGGAGTGCGGAGGACTGAGGACGGAGGACAGAACGGATTACATACGGAGTACACCTCCCCTACGATAGCAGGCCATGCGCGATCTAGAGCCCTAAAACCCTCGGCAGGAGTTTCCAAGGTCATGAGACCTCTTATTTCTGGAAGATACTCCACTGAAAGAAAGCGACCGAGTTCTGGACACAGCATTCCTTATGTTGAATCCCCGCATTCGCTTGACTGATGGCCTGAATGCCTGAATGCCTGAATGCCTGAAAGACGAGGCGCCAGAGGTCGTCATACTAGTAGGCCCCAGGTGACAAGAGGGAGCTCTGGTGATTGCTTTCACGCGGACATGATCAGATGCGACACATCGCATCTCACATCCCGTCAACAAGCTTGGAACCTACTACTCAACATCTCTTCTTCAAAAACTACCCTAGATTAGCTGACCAGTTCAAACAAACTCCTTCGTGTCGAACGACAGCCGGTCTTCGTTCTCCGCATCTCCTTGTTGACGACAACCCAACTCATACTCTCGTGGCGATGACATCCGAGAACGACTATATCAGTCCCAGTCTGATATAAGATGATGTCCTCCAATATACTCTCGCGTTTCCTTCCCCCACCGGACTCCCCCTCGGTCTATCAGACGATCCAACAATACGATGCCGGCTCCGATTCATCCGACATCGAACAACGTGCGGGGATGACCCACGATCGCGAAGAGGGGATCCAAGACCCTTTCAGCGATAGGGAACTTGAGGATGCTCTAGCAGATGCCGGTGGCAGCCAACTATCGAGCCCGCGGGCAGCTCTGCTCAGCGATCGAAGGTCCCAACAAGTTACAGACTCTCACGCCTCTCCGTCCGTATCCCGTCGTCGAAAGCCCTCAAGACCACGATGGATGACACAGGCCTCACCACAAGGATACGAACTGGATGATCGAGATGAGGATGTGCCCATGTCACTCTTGGTCGAAGGGGAGGATGATGAAGTGTTGAAGGCCCACCTTCCTCCCCCACCTCATCAGATGCCCAGTCACTCCAGAAGTCCAAGCCCCCAACTCCCTCCTCACCAGAATCAACAATGGGAAACCAGCCGTGGTCGGCAAACGCGAAATCCTGAATCTGCACATCCAATCCGACAGTGGCTCAACATACAACAACCGAGTCTCGCCAATATCGATCCCAAGAAGAAAGCAATGTGGCGCTGGGCGAATGTTGAAGACTTGGACAATTTCCTAAAAGACGTCTACACGTATTTCCTTGGAAATGGATTCTGGTCTATTTTGCTGAGCCGCACCTTGAATCTTTTGTATGTCCCCATCTTACAATTCGTCAACCACTTCTAACATGTGATAGGACATTTGCCTTCGTCGTTGGGTTTTCCACCTTTCTAACCAACTGTGTGAACTATCACAAAGTCAGAGGAAGCAAGAGTCTGGATGAGATCCTTGTCCCCAAATGTACGGCAAACATGTCTGGCACTGCGACCTTTCTACTTTGGTTGTTCAGTTTCTTCTGGATTGGCAAGCTATTTCAATATCTACTGGACATCCGGAGGCTCTGGAACATGCATGACTTCTACCTCTACCTACTTGACGTCGCTGATGCCGAAGTTCAAACTATCTCCTGGCAGGAGGTGGTCAGCCGACTGATGAGTCTGCGCGATTCCAACCCCGCCACTGCCGCCGCCGTATCAGCGAAACATCGAAGATTTCTGGGAAGTCAGTCGAAGCAACGAATGGATGCTCATGACATCGCTAATCGTCTGATGCGCAAGGAGAATTATATGATTGCGCTGGTCAACAAAGACATCCTAGACCTAACCCTACCGATTCCGTTTCTCAGAAACCGACAACTGTTTTCTCGAACACTAGAGTGGAATCTCAATCTTTGCATAATGGACTACGTGTTTAACGAGCAGGGGCAGCTACGCACGTTGTTTCTTAAAGATACCCACCGAAGAGCTCTCAGTGATGGACTGCGACGACGCTTCATTTTTGCCGGTATCATGAATATCATTGTCGCGCCGTTCATCGTTGTTTACTTCCTGATGCATTACTTTTTCCGATATTTCAACGAGTTCAAGAAGAGTCCAGCGCAGATCGGATCTCGTCAGTACACTCCGCTGGCGGAGTGGAAGTTCCGTGAATTCAATGAACTCTGGCATATGTTCGAGCGCCGCACCAATATGTCATATCCATTTGCTAGCCGCTATATTGACCAGTTTCCAAAGGACAAGACTGTCCAGGTTGCTCGCTTCATTGCTTTCATCTCCGGTGCTCTGGCATCGGTGCTTGCTCTCGCCTCGGTGGTGGACCCAGAGCTCTTCCTCGGATTCGAAATCAGCCCCGATCGAACCGTCCTCTTTTACCTCGGTATATTTGGTACTGTTTGGGCCTTTGCTCGAGGATTGGCGCCCGAGGAAACAGATGTGTTCGATCCGGAGTACGCACTCCGTGAGCTAATCGAATTCACTCACTATTCCCCCTCGGGCTGGAATGGCCGGCTGCACAGTGATGATGTGCGCCGGGAATTTGCGATTCTTTATCAAATGAAGATCGTCATCTTCTTGGAGGAAATCCTTAGCATGATATTCACACCCTTCGTGCTGTGGTTCAGCCTACCCAAATGTAGCGACCGGCTGATAGACTTCTTCCGGGAGTTCACCATCCATGTTGACGGGATGGGATACGTTTGCTCCTTTGCTATCTTCGACTTCAAGAAGGGGGCCAACGACCCGTCTCAAAGTCGACGAGGGCTCGCTAAGCAGGATCCGAGAGCCGAATATTACAATACCAAGGACAACAAGATGCTTGCTTCATACTACGGGTTCTTAGAACACTATGGTCCCAATCAACAACAACCTGCAGGACGACGGCCGTTCCACCCACCACCGAATCTCCCCACACTTGGCTCGCCCTCGGCGATTGATCTTGGAACCGGTCCCGATCGATTCGACAATGCCCATCGGCCCGGGCCAGCAGGCGGCCCTTTCGGCCCACAGTCGATCGTTGGCGCTTCTAGGTTCCGCCCAATGCCTTTAGGTGATCAACGATCGCCAGCTCCATCGATCTTACTTGACCCACACCATCAACCGTCGACGTCAGGCTTCCGCACGGGTATGCGAACTAATCCCCACCCACGCTCTCGACTGGCGCTATCACCACGCCCCGTCAAAGACGATGACGAGCGCCCTTCTCAAGACCCGCATGATTCTAGCACTCGACAGCTAGGAGTAGCGGGTGCGTCTAGTGGCGGTGTGGGCACTGGCGAGAGTAGTCTTGGGGACTCTTGGCGAATGAACCCTCCTGGAAAAGATGAGGAAGTTGATGAGGAAGAAGGGGAGGAGAATGTTGACGACATTGCTGGCGGGGCTGGAGTACTGGGATTAATCCAGCAGTTTCAAAAGGCCAACACCGAGGGTCGCCGGACGACGGTAGGGATCTAGTAGGAAGTATGGAGTACAGGCGAGATATATGTCTAAATGCTGTGAAACTGGAGTTTTGTGATGTCCTTTTTCTCACTCTTATGCTCTACCCATTGGTGTTTTCTTGGTTTTGGAGTTTATTGTAGCGCTAGACGATTCATGAGTACTTATTTAACTTTTCTTGATCAAGGTCCCTGAGTATCCGTCCGTATTTCGTATTCCCTCTAGTACATAAATCACTACTCGTACTCGCATGTGTACATACTTCGTACATTAGTACGGAGACTAATGTTCCGGGCAGGACCGGGTGAGACCCTGGGGCTGTCCAGCACGACGGTGATAGGCTATTTTAGTTGGACCCTTGCTGATCCACCCAGGGTCCGCTGGTCCACTCTCTAGTGTTTTATCGTTCTCGCTTCGTTTCAACGGAGGCAATGCCATTGAGGTTTAAGCCGAGCCGAAGCCTAAATGTCAGCTGGAGGATACAATCTGGCCCCATGATAGGCGCTTTTTAACCAGTCTCGGGGCCAGCCCCGGCCAGATGCTTTACCCTGGACTAAGTCAGTGGAGACGGCGGCTCTTGGCTAGCATGCGAGGACAATGGGCATGCACAGACGAGAAACAGGGGAATCGTAGCTGTAGGAGCGGGCAAGGCTCGGAAACAATCCACCAGAACCAAAACCAAGTGAAAACAAGGAATATCTTGGCTCATCTTAATATCATATCAACCTTGGAACATATACTAAGGAGAGGCCAAGACCGAGAGTGATCCATCACATGTGGATACTAGGAGTACCCTCTGTCTCTGTCTCCGTCTCCATCTCGGTCTCGGTCTCGTGACACTTTACCTTAGGGTACTTCTCTTCTCCTCGATTAATTGGAGTTAGTTGATCCAAGTCGTTGCTTTTACTTCCTTCCCAAGAGCAACACCAACCTCAACCTCAATCCTCATTCTCCCTCCCTTCCACCCCCTCTGCGCGAGGGTGCCGGCCCGCCATGCTTCGCGCCCGCCGCTACCGAGCGCATCTCGTATTCGCCGCGATCTTTCTCCTGGCTTTGCTGCATTTCACTCGGTCGCGCCATTGGTCCGACTCGGTCATTCTCGAGTCTCCGGAGGATAAGCCGCCCGCGCCCGCCTATCCTAATGCTAAACTAGACGAGTCAACGCCGCCATCGAAACCCCCTGCCAACAACGACGCCTACAAATACACCCCGTTCGTGCCCCACGACAGCTCCCCCGGATCGACATCATCTACCGAGGAACTCCAGAAACCCAAGGAGCCGGCCGCGCCAAACACTCATGTGAATGGAGAATCGTCGATCAAGAATACTGAGCCATTGTCAGTTCCCTCGAACAACTACGGCACCGGCGACTCAAAATCAGACGCGAATAATGATAAGCGACCCTCCTCATACTATACTGAGGGATCGCAAAATGCCCAGATTCCTCCCCCCCAAGTTGGAGTCGTTGTCGGACGAAGCCGCCGAAGATGATGCACGTTACAAGTCAACACTCCCCGCCATCACAGCCGAGGATACGACGCCGCATTGGAAGAAATTCCCTGAGAAATACCCCGTTTCGTCGGCCAATCTGATCAAGCTGCCCAAGGGTCCAGCCCAACCCATCCCCAAACTGCAGGCCAAGTTCAAGGATGAGTCGACAGTCGATAAGCAGGAGCGGCTGCAGCAGTTAAGTGCAGTCAAGGCGGAGTTTGTGCATGCATGGCAAGGGTACAAAAAGTACGCCATGGGTGAGGATGAGCTCATGCCACTGACCGCGCAGGCGAAGAATCCTTTCATGGGCTGGGGTGCGACATTGGTGGACTCACTCGATTCACTCTGGATCATGGATTTGAAGGATGAATTCTCAGCGGCCGTGGATGAGATCAAGAAGATTGACTTCACGACCTCCTCCTACCGAAATGATATTCCCGTCTTTGAGACCGTGATCCGGTATTTGGGCGGCTTGTTGGGTGCGTATGATATCTCTGGTCAACGCTACTCTGACTTGCTGGAGAAGGCCGAGGAGTTGGCGGAAATCCTGATCGACATCTTCGACACGCCGAACCGCATGCCTGAATTATATTATAACTGGGGCGCGTCAGTACTCCCCGCTTTATATCTCCATATCTTGCAGAAACTAATTATTCTATAGTAACGAGAAAAACCGTGGCCACGCAGCTTCAATGACCTCTGGTCTGGCGGAGATTGGATCTCTTTCCATGGAATTTACCCGCTTGGCACAATTGACCAAAAAAGACAAATACTACGATGCGATTGCCCGTATTACCAATGAGCTAGAATCTCTGCAAGATTCTACCAGCATTCCTGGCCTGTGGCCCATGCGAGTCAACGCCCGAGGTTGTGCTACGACTGCTGGTACCAATGTTGGCCTTGGTATTCCCACGAAGGGGTCGCCCTCACATTCGACGCGCTCGATGAATACTACTAGTGGTCTCGAGTACCCCGGCAGCATGGAATTGAAGCGGGAGGCCGATCTTGACTTGGAGGCTGCGGAACCTGCTACCTATAATCATGGTTCGAGCAGCTCGAGCAGCGATACAAGCTATGGAGGCTCTAGTAGTGCATGGGGATCTAGCAGTGCTGATCCTTCGACCTTTGAGCCCCAAGAACAGGACAAGTGCGAACTTGGTCTGCAGATGCCCCCGTTTGCTCGTGACAACAAGTACACAATGGGTGGCATGGCCGACTCGACCTACGAATACCTGCCCAAGGAGTTCCTCTTGTTGGGAGGTAAGAACGACCAATACAAAAAGATGTATACTAAGGCGATGGATGCCATCCGCAAACACCTCATCTTCCGGCCCATGACCAAGGGAGCTCGTGATATTCGTTTCGCCGCGGCCACCGGACCACTGGCCCTGTTAAACAAGGAGGGCCCCTTGCCTAAAGATCTTGTCTATGAAGGCGCACATCTCACATGTTTCATCGGTGGCATGGTTGCCGTTGGTGCCAAGATCTTCGACCTCCACAGCGACATGGAGCTCGCATATAAGCTAACTGATGGCTGCGTGTGGGCATACGAATCGACCACAACCGGCCTCATGCCAGAGACTTTCAAGATGAAGCCTTGTGGTGGAGAGACGCCTTGTGACTGGGATGAAGCTCATTACGCTAGCCCTTCCTTGGCTGACCATGCTGACTATCGGGATTCAGAGGCTGCAGCTCAGTTCCGTAGCGGCGAGAGCACTTACGGAGAGCGCGTGAAGCTGAACTCCCAAAGTCGTCCGTCAAAACCCGCTGCTGCTGCTGCTGCTGCTGCTGCTCCTGCTGCCGCCGAAGACATTGCTGTTCCTCTTCCCATGCCGGGATCGCTAAACCCTCATGATGACGGCCTTTCCTGGAAGCGTGATCTATCCAATCTTGGTGCAGCCGCAACAGCAGCTGCCCACCCCGTTGCCAAACCCACGCCTACTCACCGCGCTAGCGACGCGGATAGTCTCTTGAACAGGGACACCACAGGCGTGCCGGGCACCGCTAAGTCAAACGCCCCCTCGCGAACCAGTATCTACGATCGCTTCCCGCCTGGGATGGTCAGTATTGGCAGCCCTGGCTACTACCTACGGCCCGAGGCGATTGAATCCGTCTTCATCATGTACCGATTGACTGGCGACAAGTATTGGCGCCAAAAGGGTTGGAAGATGTTCCAGTCAGTCGTGAAGCACACCCACACCGAGCATGGAAACGCAGCTATCAACGACATCACGTCCGAGAAACCCTTGCACAAGAATTCAATGGAGTCGTTCTGGCTAGCTGAGACGCTCAAGTACTTCTACCTCCTATTTGCCGACCCTACCGTGCTCGACCTTGATAAATACGTCCTGTAAGTGTTCTCCATCCCTCCTAGCGAGTCCTTGGCCCAAAACTAACTATTCACCAGCAATACCGAGGCACACCCCTTCTTGCGCCCGATTTCATGATGATATTTGGTTTAATTTTTTGTTTGTCTTTGAAAAATGCTGTACTGCATAGTGATACCAGCGAAATGCATATACTCTTTGTTCCTTTTCCTTTTATCGATTGCAAGAATGACCGGGGATGCGCAGAATTCTTCTTTAAAGTAGAAAAAATCCTGGTAATCCATCTAAGTTGTCTTTGTCAAAGATAGTGACCGATGAGTTATAATCTGGGTGGTGGTGGTGGCCTTAATCCCACCGGTCTAAGACCAACAGATGGCGAGTGGACAAGTGGACAAGTGATCGTTTTAAGTGTCAGTAGTGGGCATTGTTGACCTTTCTTTGAGTAGATATAAATTCTGCATATTTACTTCGTAAGATAAAAATAAAATAAAACCAAAAAGTCTAGCAAATCAAAAGCCAAACACACCGGGCCAAGTGTACCCGCAGTGGAACTGGAATTCCCCCGCCTCCAACACATTCCGCATCTCCAACCTCCTCTCCGACATACAAAGACGGGATGAGTGCTCTGACACCGCCCCGCAGACGCAGATCGAGCTCGGTGGGAAATGGAGCCCGATGTTTCGGAGCCCGAACAGTTCTGGAATGGTAAGTGCTCGTCCTGGTATCGGTGTCGGCGACGCTTTGCTCGGGGTTGATTTCCGCCTCTGAACGATCGTCACTGACGAACGCCCGTTCCCAATTAACGCCTATCAGAACTCGAAGCAATTGTCTCCAAGCTTTGCGAAACTGAAGACCTTATCGACGACGCTCTGCGCGAGTACCTGAGTCTCACGACCCAGTACAAAGGTGACACATTGCCTCTCCCTCTCTCTCGTCCTCTCTCGTCCTGCTGCAATCCAAGTGGTGTCAAACATACAGAGCCTCAGCTAACTGCTAGCCTTGTCTGCACAGATGAATGCCTCCGCACCGACTTCGATATCTCGCGCTGCTCCTATAAACTCTTCGCTTCTACTATCTTCGCCGAACACGCTGATTACGTTCGGCGACAGATCATCTACGGCCTCTTGCAAGAAGATGATCCGAATACCCTGCACCTAATTGCGGCTTTCCTTCTTTTCGACGGTCGGCAGAATGAGGTACCGCTACAGATGATGAACGAGGAGGGTGCATTTGCACGGCTGTTGGAGCTTATCCAGGCATTGCGGAGGGATGAAATGGGTGGTGGGGCAGGCCTCCACCGATTGTGCATGGATTTGCTATACGAAATGTCGAGGATCCAGCGTGTGAAAATTGAAGATTTGGGTAGGTTACTACATCCCTGCATCTTGATCCTGACTGGGTGAAACGCGTGGCTGACAATACGCATTGAATAGTGCTTGTTGACGATGATTTCATTCGCTGTCTGTTTGATATCATTGAAGATCTCTCATTTGATGTCACGGACCCATACCATTACCCCGTTATTCGCGTTTTGGTGAGTGTCGCCCGCTCCGTTTAGTTCCACGACCACGCTAATGTGAACAGCTGGTTCTCAACGAACAATTTATGATATCAGCGCATGATCCTGTAGATGAAGCGTCTTCCTCGAGCCGATTGACCAACAAGGTAATCAAGATCTTGTCAGTTTATGGGAGTCTATACAAGACATTTGGCGAGAATATCATCCTACTTATCAACCGCGAAGGTATGACGCATTGGCTCCATATATAAGACTTTCTGTTGCTGAGATACTATGAACAGCGGAGACATCGTTGCAGCTTCTCACACTCAAGCTGTTGTACCTGATATTTACGACTCCCAGCACCTATGAATATTTCTTCACTAATGATCTCCACGTCTTGGTTGACATTTTGATACGAAACCTCCTCGACTTGCCCGAGGAGGCATCTGCCTTACGACATACCTACCTACGCGTCCTATATCCACTTCTCGCACATACGCAGCTTCAATCTCCGCCTCACTATAAACGAGATGAGCTCAGAAGAGTATTGAGCATGCTCGTTCGAGGACAGGTGTCCTACGGAGATGAAACCGAACAGGAAAAGATTCTTCACTTTGATGAGGTTGACGAGACTACGTGCCGGCTTGTTGGCAGGTGTGCAACTGTACCATGGCTACGTGATGTGAAACAATGTGATTCTACTCCAACTCACGAAACACCGAACCCGGTGGTCACTACTACCATCGAGACTGTCCTTGATGAGTCTGTTCAGCAAGAATCCCCTGTTGAGATAGAGACGGTTAATGTCCCTCGTCCCATATCACGCACGAGTACCATGGCTAGTTCTCCCGATACACAATCTCCGACGAGAATGGACTCACTGGACTCACGTGCTTCATCTGAAGCGCCAGACTCTGGACGGAGATTCAGTGCCGCTCAACGTCTGGGTATGCATCTAGAGCCCGCAACGTCTTCATCTCTCAGCGTCCAGGCTGTAGCTTCTCAGCACGAAAAACCAGGCATCATCACCCCTAGTCGAAATAACGGCCACGCAGCGAACGACCCCATTGCCGAAGCACCAACCCTCCGGCCGCAAAAGGTAAAACCGGAGCCGCCTAAAACCAGGCGCTGGCGTGGGCGCCGTCTCGCAGTCGACGAAGATGATCAGCATTCACCAGGTACCAGCAGCGACTACAACACCATCCCCGAAGGCGTGGAGGTCAGTCCCACATCCGCACATACAGCCCCGACCACACCTTTACCCGCCGCCCCATCTCCCCTTATCCCATCCGCAAGTAACAGACGCAATTCGGCCTCGAATTCCCTCGCTCCTCCCATACCTGGACATGGTCGTCGCTCAGCATCAAACCCACCTCCCGCCCTTCCCCCACCACGTCGCTCATCCCAAACAACCCCCTCATCTAGCCATCACCGGCTCGCACCCCCACCAGCTGGGGTAGGGAAACATGGCCAAAAGCCACTCCCCCCGAAAACAAGACGCTCGGGCAAGGGCAAGCATCATGCTCAGACCGACTCGATAGAGAGCGGAGTGAGTATCGACAGCCAGCCAAAAGAAAGCGAAGCCGAGGCTGTAGCTATGAGCTCCGTTCCCTATTTGCAGACGCAGCCACAGTTACCAGAGGGGACTGATCTAACAGATCCGTTCTCGCCGACTTCGCCGACCTCTCCTACCTTGTTGGTCTCGCCGGCTGACGCGGATGGGAAGTCGAAAGCGAACGGTGATTCCGCGGCACCTCTGAGTGTAGAGGAGGCGGTGCAGAGTGTGTCTTTGCAGTGAGATCATTCAGTGGATTTGATTGAGTTGTTAATTGCGGGTTCTGCTTCATGAATGCACCTAGCCCCTTTGTTATCTGTATGCATTGAGTAACATATCGCATCGGAAATTTCACACTGGCAGTGACCAGTTAAATTTGACTTGTACGGAAGGGTGTATACATGGTTGTAGTAATGCTGGCTATGTTTTAAGCTTTATGCTATAAATTCGGGAGATAAGTGGCTTCATGATACTCTGATTAAGGCATTCGTAGACCACTAGCAGTACACATCCTTTTTTCGGACAATGACACACTGGTACACCTGCCGTTTACCCAAGTAAGCGCGTGTACTCCATACTACTAGTACCGTGACTGTCCCGAAACGGCCTTGCTGACATCAGACGTCCTCCATATCTTAAAAGACAAATACTCAAATGATCCCCCTCCCAACCATTGAAATATTAGTGTACCTCTCGTTGACCAGAGAGAATTACAGAGACAACTAAAAATGGACCTAACTCATCTGAACTGTGCCGTGCATACTCCAGACCTCTCTGCCCCGCCTTCTCACTCTATCTCAAGATGGTCCGATACGGGAATTTTAGGCCACCCAGCGTCAATCATCATCCCGGAGACGGAAGATGATATTCGAGCTGTGTTGGAATATGCTGGCAAGAACGGGCTAACTGTATTTCCAGCCGGTGGTGGCCATGGCTCGTTCATCCCAATAACTTCGAAGACATTATACCTTGATATGAAGAAATTCGCCCAGGTTCATGTTGATAAAGATTCTGCGACTGCCACCGTTGGAGGTGGTGCAATCACGAAAAAACTGATCCAGGAGTGTACCAGTCACGGATTCTATACAACCTGGGTTAATAGCCAGGCAGTTGGGGTTGTTGGAAGTATACTCGGTGGAGGAAATGTAAGTTTTCTCACAATCCAAATCAACAGTTGATAAGGATAATCAATTCTCATAATTTGACTAGCCGACAATGGCCGGTTTACACGGAATGATGATCGACAATGTCCTTTCAGCTCGATTGATCACCGCTGGAGGGAAAACATTGGAACTCAGCCCTTCCTCAAAAGGTGACGAACTTGCCTTATTCCAGGCCCTCTGCGGTGCAGGAAACGGACTTGGCGTTATAACCTCTTTGACAATGAGGATTTACCCAATTTCTGATCTTCAATTGTCCCATGATGGAGTCTTCATCCGCAGACTCATCTTTCCCGCCCCAATGATCGATCTCGCTGCTACAGCCTTCAGTAAACTCCAGCCTCCTCCCCATCTCTGGCCGCCGTGATGATATGCGCTAGAGCTCCCTCGACTGCACCCAAGCCAGGGGCACCAATGATCATTCTCACTGCGACATACTACGGTCCTGCCAAGGAAGCCGAGCGAGCTACGTCGGTACTATTTGACGAAGAAGTGGTTTCAAAGGCCATCAATGCGCAGACAGAATTCACACCGGTAGCCCAACTCAATGACGCCTCTGCTCCCTTCGACGCGCACGGAGGTTTCAAAAATATCCAGTCAACTTGGATGAAGATAACCAATCCAGAGGCTATCAAAAGCGCCTTTGAGAAATGGCTCGAGTACACTACCAAGCACGAGGACGCGAAACGGACCGCCCTCGTCTTGAGTAGCTTTAATACCAAGAGACAAATGGAAATTGGTGCAAGCCCTGAAGGACATGCCAGGTACTTTGATCATCGTGATAGAGGCCTGCTGGCTATAATCATCACTTGGTTTGGGAGTGAAGATACTGCTTCAGCTGCGGCTACTTTTGCCGAGGAGATAAAGACGGTGTATAAGGAACATGACTCGTCAAGTACACCGAGGACTATTCTCAACAATATTGGACCTACAACCCAGCTGAGCGAACTACATACCGAAGAACGGATCCGAGAATTGAAGAGACTGGGTGGTATTTGGGATCCCTTGGGGTTATTTTGGAAGCCGTGGAATAGGGACTCGGAATGAACTTGTACTTATCACTGATTCATCCCATACCTTGAGGAAATTTGCAGATCTCTAGATATCTTCTATAATGCAACATTGCAGGGATCTAGTTTGTAATTGAGGGGTTGTCTGCTCCATAGTCCATCACGAGGGCCCCAGAAATCTTGCTTTGTTGAAACAGAGGCTATCGAAAGCCTCGGTTTCAGGCGGCAATTACTTGTCTGTCTGCAGATATCAATTCAACGACAGACAAGTATGTTGCGGCCGTGTTATGTAGATGCTTCTGCCCTAGCTTCAGTAGGAGATAATATCTACAATATCAAAGAGAAGATCTTAAAATCCGCCTACTCACAATAAAAAAAAGGCAGTAGAATACAGTATTCGAAGCAACTTGCTAACACTCCAAGAGCCCAAATGCGCCGACACGGGCCTTCAAAACAACACGATACCTGAGATAAAAATACACGAACATTTCTCAAAGAAAGGCCAACCAAATCGACCTGGATACCACTATTCTCATTCCCATTTCCATGTCACTAGATCTTCAATCCCCAGCTCCTCCCCAGACCAACAGCCGTATTTCCCCAGAACGAGACACATTGACCCACACCCTCAACCTTCTCCTTCAGAACGAGTCTATCCTCAAACCTGCGGCTCACAAACGCAGCCGTTTCTGTCAAATCAGGCGTTGGGTCCCGTGTCATGACAATTTCCGCGCTGGCGTAAATAGCCGACAGTGCCATGCGCCGAGTATACCACGACCCATCAACCGAGGATTCACCGGCCAGGGAGAGGATATCGTTCGAGAGAGCGTGGAGTTCTGTAAGGGAAATGGGGATATTCGAGAGGAGGGACATTTGAGCCAGAGCCTGTAATTGAATGAGTTAGAATTCGTCTTCATCGTCTCGAAGGACTTTCTACAACAAGCTTCCACATAGCAGAGCAAAGCATAACAGAGCAGAAAAAGAAAAGAGAAAAAGGAGAATCATACATCCTGCCATTGATCCTTAATCCCAACATTCATCCGCAAGCGCTCCAAGACCAAAATCCTCGACTTCTCCTCAACCGACAAACCCGCCACATCCCGACCATTCTCCGCCGCGACGCGGGTAAAAAGCGCACCCTCTTCAACCTTAGCGCGGAGAATGCCGCGCCTAGAAGCCAGCCAAAAGAGGATGAGGTCGAATTCTGCGCGCGGGAGCAATTGTACCGAGACGTCGAGGAAACCAGCGTCGCGGGCGCCGAGGGTTAGGGCTTCGAGGCTGAAGCCGTGTTCTGGGATGTGGGGGAGGGCGGCGGTTAGGATTGCGCTTTGGCTGTTTGTGTATTCGTGGTCTGGGAGGCGGGGGTGGAGGGTTGAGTGGTAGGGGCGGCGGTGAGATGGTGGTTGGCGGAGTGGTTGGATGCGCGGGTTTAGACGGGATGTTGATGTTGTGAGGGGAGTTGTTTGGTGCAGACGGAGGGATTGAATGGATGTAACAGCCCTTCGAGTGGCATGGGGTATGCGTAGGGTGGCCATGGCGGTTGTGTTGTGCTGTGTTGTGTCTATGGGAGGAAGTTGGAATTGGAGGCGGAGTTGTAGGCGGAGCGGAGGTTAAGCTACGGATTTACGGGAGAAGGCGGTCCACTTGAATCGGGATCTGCACGTGCCACTATGTAGGCTTAAGTACAAAAGCAGAGACATCCATTCTTTAAAGCAGATCGGGATATTTTTGACGTGCAACGTGCAACAAAGATGGGAATAAGGGAATCATAGGAGAAAAAATAGAAAGCGGAGGAAATGAAACGAGAATCAGAAATGGGCGCCAGGATCACAGATTACATGATCTGGTCCTGAGTGATGCCCGTTGGCTCCATCATCTGGTCCTGGGGAACCTGGTGGTCCATTCCACCCATCATGTCTCCGGAATCTCCCTGATCCTCAGGCCCCGATCGGGCGTTGCGTTTGGCGAAGGTGATGCCCAGGGGACGCTGACCATAGAGGTAGCCAGTGAAAGTATCTGCAGCACCGTTAGTCAATTGATTCTTGTACATCACTCAAAAAAACACGACATCCTCACCAATTGCCTTCTCGGCCATCTCGTCGCTCTGGAATCGGACAACGCCAGTTCCGTTGGAGCGACCATCGGGAAGATACTGGATCTCAGCATGCTCCACCTGGGCAATGGTCTTGAAGAGCTCGGTCAAGTCACCGTTCTCAGTGACCCATGGAAGCTGTTGCGGGATTAGCACGTGCCTATCGTCAGTTAAGAGGACTATACTTACGTTGCTGACGTAGATATCCGAGTTCTTGTCACCGCCACCAGTGACTCCATCAGTGAACTCGTTGCCGGGAGTGGAAGGGCCAGCCTGGAAGTTGTTACCGCCGCCGCCGGCATAGGCGGGAGCACCATTGAAACCACCACGGAATCCACCGCCAAAGCCGCCACGGCCAGCGAAACCACCACGACCACCGAAGGCAGGGGGACCGCCAAAGCCGCCGCGAGGGCCACCGAATCCACCGCGTCCAGGGAAACCACCACGACCGCCGCCGCCAAAGCCTCCACGTGGGACACCAGCGAAACGATCGGGGCGGACCTCAAGAACACGGTTGTGCCAGTCCCGGCCATTGAACATGGCAATGGCGTTCTGCGCATCGCCTTCATTGTCGAAGTGCACCACACCGGATCCCTTAAAGCGACCATGATCATAGTGAAGGTCGACGTGGAGATCGCGACCTGGGGCGACACCCTGTGCGACTGAAAGAAAGGGGTACAAAGTCAATTTACCAAGCGCTCGTCGATCGAGGGAAGACGAAATAGTGACTCGGCGCGAGCCGAATCAGTTTTGTTTTTAGACTTACTAGCGTCACGGAAAAGGTCCTTCACTTCTTGCCAGGCAGTTTCGAAAGGAAGCTACAGAATCCGTTAATAAGCCCTGTGTCAATTTTAGTATATAGGGGATAGGAGAGTAACAAACGTTCGCCACATAGACGGAATGGCGGGGAACAGGGGGTCCGCCGAAGCCACCGCCGCCGAAACCACCTCGGCCACCACCACCACCACCACCGAAGTCGTTACGGGGCGGACCACCGACGAATCGAGGCTCGGCCTCACGGTCCTTGGGTTAACGTTAACCAAAGACTCTCCTGCACAAAGTATAGCCCATAACGTACCTCGCGAACGTAAACGAGACGACCCATCAGGTTCTGGTTGCTGAGAGTGTTGACAGCATTTTGTGCTTGCTCCCTCGTAGCGTATTCCACAATCCTATGACGCATTAGCTGTGATTCCTAGCTGGTGATAAGATTGAAAGGTAACATACCCGCATCCCTACATAATTCGGACAGCCAGGCCCAGCCCGTCAACCCAACAGTCCACGCAAGGTAACCAAACGAGAAAGCAAGAAAAAAAAACCACGAAAAGAATCAGGGAGTAGAAAGGAACCAGCCGCTCTACGTATTGGCGCCCACCTTCGACATTCCATTTGGAAGCAGTAACACATCGGCAAAGAGAACTTCTCCAGCTGTTGCGCGGGAAAGAAAAACCAACAGTCAGCCATGCACATCCTTTCTTCAGCCATGTATCCGATCTTTGCTCACCCTGTCTCATAAAGTCCTTGAGATGATGCCATTTCACATCATAAGAAAGATTGCCCACATAGACACGGCGGTCTTGCTGGGACGAGTCGCGAACGGATTGCATCATATTGTCTTTGTTGTGGGAGCGATTTTCAAAAGGTTTCGGCGCGTAACCACTGCGTCCACCGTAAGGTGAGCCGGACGGTCCAGCAGCACCAGAAGCACTCAAAGGCGATCGCGAACGGCGGTCGTTGCGACGATAGTCGTTACGATCACCTCGGTCACCACGGTCACCACGATCAACACGGCTGCGAGAGCGGCTGCGTGGGGAGTACGAGCGACGGCTTCGTCTGGGACTGCGGGAAGAACGACGACGGGGTGAACGAGACCTCTCACGCTGCATCATGCGGTCAGAGTCGGGGTAATCAGACATTCTGGGGGTGATGCGCGAGATAACGCGACTTTAGAATTGATAAAGAGAAATCGTAGATATCGGGGGGAGGGGGGGAAGGGGGGAGGGGGGGAAGTGATCGGTGGAAGATTGGAGGTGAGGTGGGAATGGGACGGGGTTGTCTCAGCAGGAAACGGCGGGTCGGGGCGATCGGAGAGATCCAGGTCAGGTGACCTAGGTCGCCAGCTGAGACAAACAAGCTCGAGGACCCCGGGGGAAACAGGGGGGGCGCCGCTTGCTGGGGAAAGGAAACTGGCGCACACACACAGATGGAATGTGTGTGTTTCATTGCGAAATCAAAAATTGACTTGCAAGCTTTCCCATGATTTTGTAGTGACAAACACATACTCCCAAGCAAGCTAGGCAAGCTGGATTGAGCGGCACATGTTGGAGGTGGCTCCTCCCCCGCACTGACCATCTTGCGATAGTCGAGACCAGGCGCGGCGCCGCCCCCGAAGTCGCATCGATCGCATGTTCCCCTTTGCACCCCCGAGGAATAGAAGATTGGATCAAACAGAAAATGAGGGGCATTGAAAGGAGGGTGGTAGATGCAAGTAAAGGAAAGAAAGTGGGGGAAACATACCTGATATGGTCGATATACGTCGGCTAGACGTGAGGGTAAAACGGGTTAGCTAGAGAAAGAGTAGAATGTAGGAATATAGAAAAAAGGGGGAGGGGATGGTGGAGAGGAAGAAGAGGAATCGGGAAGCGGGGGGAAAGGAAGAAAAAGGACTCAGGAGGTTCAACTGGGGGGGGAGGAGGAAGGTGATTGGGTGGAGGACTGGAGGGCTGGAATGCTGAGAAGGTACGGAGTACCAGGAGTACCAAGGCGAGAGAGGAGAGCACCGTGACTGTGACTGTGACTGTCCTGGTATAACAGGAGTATGTAATACGGGAGAGCAAGAAAGGCAAGGAAGGGTTGGGGGGAGGGGAAACTTTGGAAAACAGGACAGTAACTGGGACGGTGACGGGGAAGGGGAATGAAAATAGGAAACCCACCCATGGTGTATGTTTGAGATGCTCAAGCTGAAGATGCGTGGCGGTAGTGGGAGGAAGGAGGAGAAAGTTGGAGGAAAGAGGAGAAGAGAGGAGAGAGAGGAGTCCCGCGGGTTGAAGGTGTTTGCCTTTCGGCCTTTCTGATTGATACTCAAGAGGTTGAGCTGTCGAATTTGTCCCCACCGCCCTCTTCGCGGGGGTGTACTATACGTAGAGAACGGAGTAAGTATGTATTGAACTAGATTGAAGTACTTGGGTGGATGTATGTGAGATGTAGATGTAGATGGTTGCGTGGATTGATCTCTGCGTAGGAATTATAGGAGCCAGAAGGAACTATAAGAAACCAGTATATCAGACCAGAGGATCCGGGGAGAGCACCTATCTATGTACATATAGTCCCAAGTACTACATAGATCAAACCGTCCATTTAGTTACCTCCCATCCCATACCTGGGTCATAAATCCTCTTTGTCGCTTTGTCTACTTGAAATTACCATACTAGTACTCGCCCACTTCGCGATCAAAGGATTCTGTGGTGTCACAACGTTCTGCACATCTGACTGGTTGCCCGTATCCAATTTCTGCTTGCACCAAAATGCCACGGCCGAGCTGGGCTGACCCTAGGTACCTCCTTCAACGCCCCGATAAGCTCCGCTTGGGACATTTGTGACACCGGTCTAGATGGTGCCATGGTGGATCTAGACCGACACCTCGACGGGCTCCGCATGCCCCACGGCTCCCGGAACGATCTGATCCCACCATGTGGCATGTGGATAACCTGAGGAATCAATCAATACCTTACGTATGTGCTTATCTTTTAAGTGATATTAAGAATAAATCCTGGCTGGACCGAACTCGTATTCATTGCTCACTCCACGGAGTACATAGAAATCTTCGCTTGAAACCAAAAACTAAACAAAAACAAAATAACAAAAATTGGTGGTAGTCAAGAAACGAGGGCGCGGATGCTCAACACCCGGGGAATCAAAATTCAAGTCAAAGACCCAGTTGCGCCTCAAACCCAGGACAAAAAGACCCAAACGCCTCAAATTGATCTAGGTCGTATTGTAGAGGAGGGTGGGAGAGTGGTAGCTGTACAGCGGATGTGGTCGTGGTCAAAGTGGGGGGGAAGAAGGGGGAGGGGTACTCCGTAGTGACGAGGATAATGTTGGAAGCAAGAAGCAACCTTTGGAAAGAACAAGAAAAAGAAAATAGTGATAGTGAAAAATAAGAAGAAAAATGGGAGGAGTAAATGAAAGAAAATATAGGCGACAAGGTCAACAAAGATCATGCGGCCACATTGGTTGGTGGGAAGCGACCAGGAATCTGCATGTCAATGGCGACCACGCTATCCTGCTTCGGGCGCGACAAGTCAGGCCCGGTCTTCGCGGTGCCTCCAGCGCCGTTCACAAAACTCCTGTCAGCATACCCATCCTCGAAACCGCCGAAGGGGGCCGAGTCCACGGCCATGATGCCGGCGGTCTTCGATTCGTGCGTATCATCGACTGAAGTCGCGAGGGTGTTATTTGTGTAGTCTGTGACATTGGTGTTTGTAGGCGCCGTGGAGACACTCTCGCGACGAGCCACCTGTGCAGGAGCCGAGTGATCACGGCGGTCTGGCGCTTCAACTACGCCAGACATGGCGACAATGGAGTTATGGTCCCCATCCGACCGAATCTCTCGATCATCTGCGTTGGCCGCCTCCGACAGCTGGCTCTTCTTCTGTTGGCCAACAATAGCAGTAGGTCCAATCCAATCACCGTAGTAGCTGTCGTGACGGCTCATGCGAGACTGAGATGCGGGGCTTTCGTTTGTCCCCCGCTGAGACACATTGTCGGCATCGCGACCTGGGTAGTATCGCGAAGGGCCCGCGGTAGTACCATCCGGAATGGCTCCTGCTGCGGCGATCATCTCACGCCCGGCCGAGCTATCACCGCTCGATGGGGAAAGAGGCGCCTGGAGATGCCGATCAATCTGAACGTCACTGGGGAATGCCCCACCGGGCTGGCGGGTGGCGGACATGGGCCGCTCCTGACCGTTGGCCAGAACCACCGACTCCGCTGAATACGGAGTGCGGTCGGCTTCATCATCCTCCATTACCTCACTGTTAGTAGACATTCCGCTGACGCTACGCACATGTCGTTGACGAGTTGAGGCCTTGCGAACAAAGGCATCGCGTGCTTCGCCCGTCTTGTTGATCAGACTCTCGATATCTTCAAACCAGGACATCATAGTCTCGTGGGATTCGGCGCGGAAAACCCACGAGTGACCACGATGCATAGCACCAGTTTGTCGACCCTTAAGCATAAACTTGTGGGAGCTGGAGTCCTCCTGGGAGTGTGATCCCAGCTTCTGCTCCGGCAGATACAGTGACATGACTGGGGTCTGCCACGCAACACGGTCCGCGGACTTGAACTCGTGAAGATGAGTCGGCGATAATACATACCTGGATGCCAATTAGTCATTGAATTGTGGTGAGTTTTGCAGTGGAGGGGATCTTACCAGCCCGGGGTATAGCTCTTGAGATACTTGCTCTTGCGCTCCAGCATGCCGGCTCGAACCTCGGCCGCAGCCGGATGATCCTTACCAGAGTAAGTGATACTCTCCACGTTTCGCAGCGGGATTCGCGGGTCGACTAGCTCATCGGTGTTGGCTACAAATGTGTTCCACTCGTGATCCTGGGGCATCGAAATCGGGCCGGCCCGCAGTTTATCCACCGTATCATACGCCTCGTCAGCCTCGCGCTTGAGAATACTGGCGTACGCATTGTAGGCCTTTTGGATCTCGCTAACAACAATCGCCTCGAGTTCACGCCCGGAGCTTTCTAGGTTCAAGAATGCCTATGGACATGGTTAGCTCTGCTAGGGATATATTGGGATGAATAAAAGGCCACGAACTCGGTGAAGGTAGTTTTCTTCCTCAATCTGCTTCTCTACTTGTTTTTCAACATTGAGTCGCATCAGGAACGGGTCGCCTTTGCCGGAGGTAGCAGAGGGATCGGTGTCTACTAGTCCTAAAGATTCGTGCAAATAGCGCACGGCCTTGCGCGTGCCGTCAATCTCCTTCTCGACCGTGTTCTTGAAATCTCCTGAAAGATTCTTGATCTCCTTGGTCTTTTTCTGAAGGTCGCTTCGGAGGCCCGTCAGTTGGCTGATGACTTCGATTTCGACCTCGACGGCCTTGTTGGCCTCGGTATATCCCTGGCGGTGGAAATTTTGTAGAATCTCAGTGGCGTCGGCAAGACCGCCCGACTGTAGGAATGATGGGGGAAGCGACTGGTTGTTCATCACATGGGAGGCGGATAGGAATAACTTGGAGCGAGCTTCGTAGGATTTCTGTACTTCCTTGAAGAAGACGATCAGGTCCTTGAGGATCTTCCGCCAAGCTGCGCGATCCTAAAAGTTAGCGCCGATCATAAGTGTAGGCGGGCACCGTTCCATCCAAGGAGCCGTTCAAAGGATCATACCTTGAAAGCGGTTCGCAAGCACCTCCGTCGGGTTTCCAGTGGTCGGGATAGGGATCAAGAAGGCGCTATTAACATCTTCCGAGCCATCGGCATTGTATTTCTCGCGGTCGCCCAAGCTGAGACTTTTGACACTCCCCGCGCGCAATGATCGGCGACTTCCGTTGCGTCGCAAACTCCCCTTCTTGCTCAAGGAAGCTTTCTTGCGTAGAGTTCCCGATCGGGACGGGGTCGGCGATCGAGCCTGGGACATTTGCGACGCCGAGCGCTGTAGGGTGGAGACGGGGCGGTCGAGCACGACCGAGCTGCGGTGACTGGCCGTGTCGAACTCCTCCCTAAAACGGGGATTATGCGGTATCGACTGGTCGAGGGGGCCGTAATGAAAGGCCGAACCGGTGCCAGCATAGGAACTGGGTCGTGAGGAAGAACGAAGGTTGCCATAGCCGCGACTCAAAATGCCGGGGTCGCTGGGTTGCGGGATCGAGTATGCATCCTGCACGGGCGTCTGTGGCCGCGCGGCCATCGCCATGGTGATAGAAGCGGAAGCGGAGAGAGGTTAAAGGTTAAGGAACGTGTGTGTGGAGGTGACAGGAGAGATGGCGAGAGAGTAGACCGTAGAAGGGTTTCCAAGTTCACCAAAAAAAGACAAGAAAAAAAAGAGAAAGAAAATCAAGTCGATCGGGCGTCAGGATAAGGAGTAGTACTAGAACGGCCTAGGATGGGATGGCGCGGTTTTTGGTTACCAGGCGAACGGAGGGTCGGTCTGGCCGGATTTGCGGGGGGGTTAAATTCGGTGTCGAACAGAGTTGAAGAAGCAAATGATGATCAATTCGCAATACTCCACACTGTAGACTATCGATAGACCGCGTGAAACTTGAAGAAGGGGGGGGGGGGACAAGATGAAGAGGATTCTAAATCTTATCCTACAGGAACTTGAACTGCTTTGGACTTGGCCTTGGAGGGGGGGCCCTGCAGATATGTAATAATAATAATGAAAATGATGGATGACGTCTACGAGGGGAGGGGGGGCAAAAGATTGGGATCGGGGGGTAAGAGAGAAAGAGTGAAAGAGAGAGTGATGACGCCTAAAGCCCGTTGTACCCTCACCACACTTCACTCCGGGAGTGCCGGCTCGAATGAGGGGGAATATGAAGTTAAATCTTTGTGATCTTGAATGTGGTTGACGTACTGCACTCTCCCGGAATTGAGCGCCGGCGAGATGTGATCTTGGTTGTGGTTGGATTCTCATACGATCCCCTTTTGGAACCTCTCCTTTTTCCCCCGAGTCTTCTCCTTTTTCAAGCCGCCCCTTTTGTAGACCCGACTATCTGGCTGCCTGCTCCAGGGCGTGGCTGACGACAGTGGCTCCGCCCCCCCTCCAAAACCTACTTACATATTTAGTTCCCTAAACGAGTTCGGCCCTGGCACTAGCACTCGGGAAATGAGCATGATCCACGCGATCTGTGGCTCAGCAAAAGAAAAAAGGCACCCCTGATCGCTGATGGATAGATGACGTCGGGATCGGATCGATATCGAAGCTCATGCAAATCTATACGGAAGATTATCCTGCCCCTCTTTTACCCCCCTTACAGGGCACAGAACGTGGATACCCGTCCCCGAGGCTTCCGAAGAAGCATGGAAACCTTGGAAGAACGTCTGAGGATGCTTCAATGTCGTGGAGTTTGCCCGCTTTGAGCCATCCTAGAGGCCCGTGGGGTTTGGAACTGCTCTCCGATAAAGCTCGGCCAGTATCGGTGCCTCATCATGGACCAGTTCCATGGCGACCATTTCTGGATTTCGAGTCAAAATGTGATATCGGTGGAAGGGAGATCCTCATTCGAGGACCCGTGATCTTGTTGAGTTGCATTTCAGTGGCCGGAATCAGCCAAGTTTTAGCCATCATGGTCCTTGGCAATGACATGGTCGAACGACCGAGGTATCCCAGCTAGTATGCATTGTGGCGGCAAAGACGTAGCACAGTGCCGATTTCTCCGTAGGGCTGAATCATCGTGGGATTACAGTAGCACGAGTGTAGTTTGATTACTAGAATGTCTTGTTAGAGTTGTAGAAGTGATGTTGGATATAGCCGCCCCGTCATTGGCCGCCGGAAAAGAACCCCTCCGCACTCCACCGGCCAGTGCCAACTGCCACTCAAGATCACTGGCAGTTTAAGGAAGACCAGCCCATCCAATTGATCGATGCGCATCCAATCAAGTCAATTGCCTACTGCAGATTTATATCCCCCTCATCTCCACGCTATAGGAAATTGAGGAGTGGTCTTTAATCAATCATTTTACGCTGGAACTCACTGCCGCGCCAGTCTCTCAATCTACGTCACAACTAAATATCAATTCAAACAGAAGAAAACTTGATCGGATTGGACGTGTCCGGCATGCTAGAGAACATGATGTAGAGGGGGATAATTTACACAACGCAATTCGGAAAGACAGTGGCAAAATCACGGCATCAAGGGAAAGGGGGGATATTTTATGATGCAGGAATCGGGGATGTGGGAACCTCAATGCCATACGCCTCCTTGATCCGCTCCCGGCGGCGCTCCTCGTAGTTGGGGCCGTGAATGCCTAGAAAACCATGATGTTAGCCGATTCGTACACTCTGGGATAGTGCCTGAGAACGCCTGCATAGATGGGGAAATTGACGTACCACGTCCCTCGCCCAGTTCCGCGAAAGTCTGCTCCGCGGGGGTCTGGTAAGCCTTGCGCAGCTTCCGACGACGCTCGAATTCATCCTCCTCCGTATTGTTCTTCGAGTATCCAAAAAATCCTTCGGTGTAATCGAAGGCGGCCATGAGAGTGGCAGTGGCGGCACCGTAGCCGAGAACAGCAGGGAAAGTGCGGGCTGGGGAAGATCGAGGTTAGCATAATCATTCGCGTTGAAAGATAGCTCAATTTCTCCAATCATGGAAGTATACTCACATCGCAGGCCCAGCAGAGCACCAGCAGAGAAGCCAGCCACCGCGGTGTTCCAAGGGTCATCCTTCTCGCGCAAATTGGCCGAGGCGGCCCTCACAAAGGCATATGTGCCACCCATTCCACCTAGAGACATTGGAAATCAGCACGGAGATCGAAAACGGCGGTTTCTTATTCGATATATCTCATACCGAGCATGGTAATGGTGCCTCCAAATCGAGTAACCACGGCGAGAGGGCTCATGTTCTGCTTATGCATGGTGACCTGGGCAGCGGCTCCAATAAAGCCGATACCACCGGTGATGGTCAATGCCTTGATTGCGGTCGAGATCGCATCCTTCGGGTGATAGCTGTCATCCTCAGCGTGGTGCGCCATGGTGTCTGTTTGGGGGGGGGGAGGGATGAGCTGCGGGAGAGACGGGATCGTAAAATGGTTGCTCGAAGTTCCCAAGTTGAGTGGCAGGTTTGCGGCACTGACCGCCTACTCCACCGCCATCGAAGCTTGGGGCGTTCACAACACACTCAGCAACATCAAAGAACCAGAAACACGTTTGACTATTATATCTCTGACAGTCCTTCTTCTGGAATCTGTACCGGAGAGACCCAAGTTATCTAAGTACCACTTCACACGGTCCACAGGCTCCCATTGCAGCTTCCGCCGAGCATCCTCGACAGCTTGGCGCCCACTGATGCCCAGTGCGGTGGGCTCCCCGCTGTCTCTCCACCAACAAGTTCCTATTCCATCACTGGTGCGCGCCGTGGATGCGCAGCTTCTTTGAAGATTCTTATGAGACATCTGATTTCCCGAGTCTAAGGTCTTGCATAAATCTGAGCAAAAGACGTTTGCATCGGCTTACGCCGGGCTCATACAACTGCCTACATCATGACATACCCACAGAGGGCAGGTAAGTAGGAAGCATAATCTGATACCTAATACTATGATGGATAGATGTTACAAATGCTAACATGTCGTTTTTACCTCCCATACAGGTAAACTGGCCCCCCCGGCTCGCTGAGGACATCCAGTTATACGATCCAGAGCACCCTCCCGACACCGGTCTCAACTTACTTTCAGAGACTCCTCCCGTCTATCCCGACAAGACAGACAAACGTTACGAATTTATCTCGCCTGATGCATGCAAGCATAATTATGTGACCAAATCGAACCAAACTTTCCTGGCGCAGACAGACCAGCAACGCAGGCCCGGGACGTCCTCGAAGGTCTCCGCCATATGCTCCAAATGTCGCTGTCACCTGCAGCTGGTCGTCAACCACAACAACACTGGAAGCTCATTCACACGATCCCAGAAAGGAGATCACATCCATCACTTAGTCTATAAATCTGGGAGACAGAGAGGTAGCACGTCGGTGGAGGAGATGACCACCAGCGGGCAAGTGGCCGAAACATACCACTTTCAATGCTCCCACCTCTCGTGCTCCGCTATGGTGTCACTCCGAGTACTGTCACCACTATTGAACAAGAATTTTGTTCAAATGCTGACAGATGTCGATGCGGTTCGCAAACGAGCAGACGAGGCAATCGCAGCGAACCCGGATCGCCTAGAAGGAATGACTGGTCCTTTGCCAATAACTGTGTTAGATAATCTTCGCATCTATCTCAACAACTCCCTACATAACAAAGAGCTTAACAAGGACATATCTGCTATTAATAAGCGGTTCATGCTTGCGTTTGGCCTAAAGGGCGCCCCCTGCAGGGAAGTGTTGGAGTTTTTGGGCTTTACCTATCTCGTATGATTTTGTCTTGTGGTCCCAAAAAATGCTCATCTACTAAGATCGTATCTAGGAAAATGGCGCATGGCAGCCTCCAAAGCCGGAGCCGGAATCGACGAAGCCTTACCAAGACGCCCTTTCCATCTTCCTTGATGACGCTATCCATGAACTGCAAGCCCTGATACATAATCGACCGAACTCGGAGAAACGAGAAGTGCAAATTCAACTCCCCCAGGCATCCTCAAACGACATCCTCCATGCTTTAGAGGCAGCCGACTGTTTGTATACTCTTTGATAAATCGAGAAGCCAGGGGCTGACTGATAAACTAGACCCGAAATCTCTACATGCAAGCAGTTTCGATATGCCACCTGCCCCGTTCGTTGCCCCCATAGACCCATACATGCGAGCAAAACTGACAAGTTCGTTCTCCAAAGATTTTACGAAGACCTCGGAGCCGTCGAAGATATGGATGCTTCGTTGATCGTGGAAGCCTACAATCGTCAGATCTCTGTGGATCCATCCCGATCATCACTGTATTTGGAATCACTCAAGGCTATTGGCACTTTACGGCGTGGCCAGGACTGGGAGATCATCGACCATGCAGCGCAGGTGGCCTATGCGGAAGGCAAATACACAAACGACGATGTAATCGAAGCGTACAAATATTTTGGGCTCTGGCATGATGATCCAAACATCACAGAAGACACTATCATAGGGAAATTCTACGCCTTTCTGAGCTCGACTTCTCATGAAACCGAAGCACGACAGCAGCTGTGGCGGATTGGGAATAGCAGAGGCAGCGAACGCATCAAAGCTGCTTCAGAGGATCGTAAGTCTCATGGGTTCTGATGACTATCGGTTATCGCAAGATTAATGATCATAATGCGCAGGCGTGTCCACTGTCGAGCAAGCCCAGGTCTTCCTTGGAGTTGATGACAAAACCCCCGATGATTTTATCATCACAATGTACACGGCGAAGGTATGAACCTCTAACATTGGACTACGTTGCGAGGAAACTAATAGTAGGTCGTTTTCTGCAGGTCAATGACAACCCGTCATGTAAGGATACGGCTGATCGGGCTGTCAAGCTCATTGCGGAATCTCGTAAATCAATCGGGTTGAACCATTTTCTTAATACCGGCGAAACAGTGTCAGGTGAAATGGACATTGGAGATGCATACCGTTTACTCCAAATTCCAGACAGAACCGCAGATGAAGAGGCAGTCATGGCGGCTTATACAATTTGCATCGATGATAGTCCTGACCAAGCCGAACTCTACAATCGTGCATTGAGTGTAATCGCCAAAGAGATGGATAGCCAATTGCTCAAAGGCATGGCTGGTATATCCTCTGATGTCAATCAGAACCTGGCCGAATGGCCCGTTGGCTTACAGAATATTGGCAACACCTGCTACCTCAACAGCCTTCTCCAGTTTTATTTCTCTGTTCGCCCCTTCCGAGACATGGTCCTTGATATTGAAAAGCACCAAATGGATCTGAACGACATCCCAGGGCTGGCGAACAAGAAGGTTGGCTCGCGCAAGGTGACTGGAAAAGAAGTCCAACGATCGCTCACATGTAGGTTCATCATGGCAATTTCTGGCAGTCTCGACATGAAGCTAATCAAAGTCATAGTTCTCGGGGAACTTCGAACATTGTTTCAGAATATGATCACCTCATCACAGTCTTGCGTGGCTCCTACTCGAGAACTTGCTAGGTTGACACTTATCAGCCCTGGAAACGAGGAAGCCATTCGTCGAAGGTCGACAATATCCAAACCCCAGACATTGGGGGAAATTGGCGGGGCACCTATTTTAGGACCCCTTGGGCCTCCTCAGCCCATTGTCGAGATGAAAAGCGAGCATCTCGTGAGCTCAGGCGCTGACCAGCAGATCCCTACCAAGGGTGGAAGTGACGCGGACAGTGAAGAGACGTTGGTATCCGAGAGAAATGACCCTGCACCACCTGCGCATTCTGCTGTCGAAGAAAATGAGCAAACTAATTCCGAAAAAGCACTTTCTGAAGCTGAAGGTTATGTGAAGATCGAGGCCGGTGACCCTGCTTCGTCTACGCCTGAACATCCCGGCCGACCACCACCCGTTCCCCCAAGACCTGTCGTCGAAGTCGATCGTCAGAAACAATTGCTGGAAGAGGTAGAAATCGGTGCGCAGCAGGATGTTACGGAAGTGATCAACAATGTTCTCTTCCAAAGCCAGTGCGCCATCAAACCGCGAAGTGTGGCCAGTGACGGGGAGCAGGTGGACCAGATTAAAGAGTCAGTTTCTTCGATCCCCGCATCCCGCAAGCTTGGATACTAATAAATATCAGTTTGTTCTACGGCGAAAGTCGATCCTACATTTCTACTCAAGCTGGCACCCGATCCAAAGAGGAAAGATGGTGCGATATCAAGGTTGATGTGGCGCATGGTTCACGGGATATCTACTCTGCCCTCGATGGCGCTTTTGATGCCCAAAATATCAGCGTTGAGAACTCCGTAGCCGAACAATTTGGCTCGATCACCCGGCTTCCTCCCATTCTTCAAGTCCAAGTTCAACGCGTCCAGTTCGATCCAGTCAAGAAGAGCTCTTTCAAATCGACAAATCATCTTGGGCTTCTGGAAACCATTTACATGGATCGATACATGGATACCCAGAAGCCAGAGATTGTGAACAAACGCCGTCAAGGCTGGGAACTTAAGAAAGCTCTCAAGACGTGTGAGGAACGCAAGCTAGAGCTCATGAGGAAACAGGTATAGCCCCATAAACCTCCAGTATATGCCGGTCATGGACAAGCTAACCTATAATCAGGAAACTGATGGCCAAGATTTGGCGCAGCTGCTTCGGGGCACTAGAGATGTGCTTCGAGATCTGCCGTGGGAGGAAGAAGGAAATGTTGACGCCAATGAGTCACTTAGCAATGAGATTGACCAGCTCGCTCAGGCCGCGGAGGCCGAGCTTCAAGGTGAGCATAGATGTTGACACCCTCTATTATTCTCACATGCTAATCTTTCATCAGGCCTCGACACGGAGATTGAGACCATACAGACCCAAATCTCGAATCAATTTGCCGAATACAGACACCTACCTTATCGGTTATACGCAGTGTTTGTGCACCGTGGGTCTGTTTCTTTCGGACATTACTGGATCTATATCTACGATTTCAACCGTGACATCTGGCGCAAGTATAACGACGAGTACGTGACCGAGGTCCAGAATCTCGATGAGATATTCAAGAACAACGATCCCGCAAACCCGCCCACCCCGTACTTCCTTGTCTATATAAACGACAGAATGAGAGATCGTTTAGTCGATCCAGTTTGCCGTGACCTCGCTGAGCCGATGCCCGACGTGCAGAATAGTGACGCCAACCTCGCGGGCGCTGTTCAACCCACAGAAGCCCCTCCTCAAGACGACGTGCCTATGGATCAGTCGACTGATTAGGAATCGTCGACGAGCTTCATCGATATGACTGGATACGTCGTCAGTGACTATTATGATCATCAGGGCCGCTGTCGACGCGATGTGGATCGATATTGGTAGATAAGACACCCCAATGGTCAATCCAATGGGGACGGGCCCGAGTACATTTTGGAGTGCTCGAGTCACTTTCAAGGTTTATTGAGGCAGGCGGAAGATGACATGATTGCATAACTACCATACCTCTATTTCTTTATGACCGTACGATGTCCAATCTTTATGTCAAGCATTAAACTCAAGAACACATGTATGCCTGTGTACATAACGAAAGATACCATGAATGAAGAACTTTTAGATTATGCTGGTTTCTCGAATTTTGTAAACACAAACAGGCCAAAAGGCAAACTACTCTAGCTTTATTCAGTTTCCCTGCCACCGAACATGGTGCGCGAGCCGCAGTCTCTAATCATGATCAAGTAGCTATTCAAGAGCTTCAGGTTGAGCGCCAAAGAGTATCATTTGAGATTTCAAAGAATGAATTGTTAAAGTTTTTCCATTGAAGCAAGCTCTGAGTACATGTCAAACTAAAAACTAAGAGCAACATTGATAGCAATTTTGAAAAAGAAAGAAAATTCAAAGAATTGTCAGAGTCAACACGGTACAGAAGGAAATAGCAAAATTAGCCTCCGTAGACGGGCGTATCGAGGATGTTTCCATCAGTCTTACTGCTTCAGGTCTGTCCTTGGGTAGAGCCCCTGTTCCCTTGATTTTTGACAGCGCCCCGATTCCCGTTAGAGCGAGCCCTTTTATTCGAAGCTTGGAGCGAGCCTGTATTAGGCCGCTTGTTTGTGCCGGCTTTCACTGCCAAACCAGTCTTCGGGCCGGTATCTGGAGTCATCTCTTCAGGTACATCATCGTTCTCGGTCAGATTGCCCTCGTGGGTCTGAGAAAGAGGAGTATTCCCACACTCTGCACTGTTTGCAGATTGTTCATCAATTGAAAGAGGGTCAGGCGAGCCAGTATTCGTGCCATTGTCTCGGGTTTCCTCTTCAGCTGCATCGAGATCTGCATCATCTCCATTTTGTTCGTTGGTTGGGAGCGGTACTTTCGAGTGGGGATTTGGATTCATCTCTTCGTCGTCATATTCTTCTTCGCAGCTCTGCTCAGCGGAAGTTTTGTTGATACCTGTGGACTTCCCTCCCCCGGTGGACGGCTCAGAAGACACTTCGGTCGTAGAGAGTGTAGACCCTTTCAGTTCCTTGAGCTCGTCTTTGACCTCCTTGAACTCCAGGAACATTCTCTCAACAAGTGCAGTCAGATCCCCTTGGCCGCTTCCTTTTGGTGTAGTATTCTCGAATTTGACCATTGAGCACGGCTTGTCGGTGGTCTCATTGGAGATGGGGGGTCTACCTTGATCAAATGCCTTGAGATTTCCTTTGTATGCGAGGATAATTCTCCAGAGCGGGACATGCTTATTTAGAATTGCATCGGATAGGTACAGGTTGCCCATACCGTCCTTTTCCAGTGCAGTCCAGATGTAGGCTGGCTTGAGGTATCCTCTGTAATACCCACTGGCGTAGAAGACCTCGTTGTGCGTCTTCTTCAACCCGCCAATGTTCTCGGTCATTATAGTCCTGATTTTGGCCGGGGTCAGCGTCGTTGTACGATCCTGTCTGAGAGAAATCTGTGCAGGTTTTGCCTGTCCATGCTCATCGCATTCGCCAGTATGAGGAATTGTTGGGTATGATGGTAGCATTCGATTACTACCGCGCAACGTTCCCCACTCCTGATCGAGAATCTTTGGAAAGGAATCAGCATATGGTAGCTGGATCATCTTCTGCTGGTTGATCTTGACAGCGGCTCTCAATCTCAGCAAGGCACCATCAAGATCCAATGCCTTCAGATGCTCTTTCACGACGTCTGGATTTGATTTTTCCTTGAGGAGTCCTTCTGAAAGGGATTGCTTGGTGGCATCACCGGCATAATGGTATGCCATATCTCTAATGAATGCCTGGTACAGAGGCTCGGGTACCTGGAAATCTCTAGAAATTTTGGAACAATACTCATCGACTTCGAAAATCTCTCGTCCAGAAAACGTATCTTTACCAGCTTGGAATTTTTCGATAGTCTTTTTCACCCATTCGTCCACTGGGGGAGGCAAGTGATCATCTGATCGGGCCATGTTAAGTGTGTACTATCGAAGACTATTCTTGAAAATACAAGATACAGTGGAAGTGCAACAGGGGATGGAAGTCGATGATAGGGGCTAAGGATGGACAAATACTGGTTGGTGAAGAAAGTTCAGATACTGGACGTGAATGGTGAAAAGAAGATGAAGAAGATAAAGGGAAGTTCAAAGAGAATGGCTTATATAGGATATCTCTTGACAATTTGTAATAGTGCCAGTGCACTCCAGCACACTTGACCAAGCTAGGTGTAGCAAACAAAATAGAGGAAATTTCCCCGAAGAGCCTTACATACTACAAGTAGACATTCAAGTTTGCCCAAGGTTGTTACTTGGGGCAAGTCATTTGATTATTTTAGGTATAGTATTTTCTCTTGGCGACTCATGGCCTTGAAGTGTCCAACACTGTCCATATTATTACTTGTATGTGCGTCACGGTCGTTTCTGCGTGCCACTTCGGGCATCTTTCAATTTCTGCGACAACTAGTATCTGTAAAGAAGGGCGATCTTCCGACTCACATATATATAGTGTGTGAAGGGACCCAATTCCATGAGAAATAGCTTTCTAAATCTAAGGTTTATGCACGATCGGTTATACTAAGGTAGCCTTGATGGTTGATATTTACCAGATCCAATACCGTGGGACATACTATATTGGACCCATGGCCGTGGGATCCATAGTATACTCCGGATCACCTGACTGCACATCCCCAGATCGGAAGGGGCTACCCGCCACCCGCCTCTCGGATGTCCGTCGGTTGTTACTTCGGCTGTTTTCGGTGTATACTCTTTATGCCAATGTATATATATAATCATGTTCGAATTTATTGTTTGAAGTATCTCCAAGAAGAGTACATTAGCGATATTAATAATTTATTGCCCGCATTCCTGAACCCTTCTTCTATAGGAAGTAATGTAGGCTACGGGTAACCGGTGTGGGGATGCGGGGAGCGTCGGGAGTGACTGGTATATCCGGGATTGTTCCGCCGGTCGAGTGCCGCCGCGGATGTATAAGACTGGCACACTGCCGCCTTCTCTCGAATCCTGCTGCTCCTTGTCTTTTCTGCTCCCGCAGCATTTCCTCTCTTTCCTTGCCTTGCCCATAAAGTTAATTCACCATGCCTTCACAAGTGGCCACATGTCTGCGCTTCGCGCGGCAGTTTTCCGCGGATCCTGCTAAGGTAACATTGACAAGCTCTCCGCATATCTGATTCTGGCCAATACTGACACGGCATTGCTATATAGCACCAACGTTTCCTTGCACGTACCTTCTCTAGCAGTGTTCAGCGCGCTGCCATCAACAAGGTGTTCTCGTCCGCCGAAGATGCTACCAAGGACATCAAGTCAAACTCCACCCTTCTGGCCGGCGGATTCGGTCTATGTGGTGTTCCCGATACCCTCATCAACGCGGTTCGGGCCAACTCATCAATTTCCGGTTTGACCGTCGTCAGCAACAACGCGGGTGTGGACGGCTCTGGACTGGGCCTACTCCTCCAGTCTAAGCAGATCAAGAAAATGATTGCTAGCTATGTGGGCGAGAACAAGACCTTTGAGCGCATGTACTTGACTGGCGAGATCGAATTGGAGCTCACCCCTCAAGGTACATTGGCTGAGCGTTGCCGTTCTGGCGGTGCCGGTGTACCTGCATTCTACACCCCCGCGGCGTTTGGCACCGTTGTGCAAACCGGCGACTTGCCCTTGCGACACAACAGTGACGGAACTGTCGCTCTTTACAGCCAACCTCGTGATACCAAGGTCTTTGATGGCAAGAGCTATGTCATGGAAGAGGCCATTAAGGGAGACTACGCCTTCGTGAAGGCGTGGAAGGCTGACAAACTGGGTAACTGCCAGTTCCGCTATGCGGGCGCCAACTTCAACGGCGCAATGGGTCGCAACGCTAAGATGACCATTGTCGAGGCTGAGCACATCGTGGAGCCTGGTGAGATCGAGCCTGCATCTATCCACCTGCCTGGTATCTACGTCAAGCGTGTGATTCAGAGCACCACCGAGAAGAAGATTGAGAAGTACACTTTCGCCAAGGAAGAGGGCGCCGATACCTCTGCACTGGGTAAGGGTGACACTGCCAACAAGCGTGAGCGCATTGTTCGTCGCGCTGCAAAGGAGTTCAAGAACGGGATGTATGCCAACTTGGGTATCGGTATGCCCATGCTGGCCCCTAACTTCGTCGACCCTTCTGTCGAAGTCACTCTCCAGTCCGAGAACGGTATTCTCGGCCTTGGTCCCTACCCCAAGAAGGGCGAGGAGGACCCCGATCTGATCAACGCCGGCAAAGAGACTGTTACTCTAAACCCGGGTGCTTCCTGCTTCGGCAGTGATGAGTCGTTCGGTATGATTCGTTCCGGCCGCATCGATTTGACCATCCTGGGTGCCATGCAGGTCAGCGCCAAGGGCGACCTTGCCAACTGTATGTGATCTGATAAACTGATTTTTTACTGTTATTTATACTAACTGCGTTCTGTAGGGATGCTTCCCGGAAAAATTAAGGGCTTCGGTGGTGCTATGGACCTTGTTTCTAACCCCTCTGCCACCAAGGTCGTTGTCACCATGGAACACACTGATAAGAAGGGCAACCCCAAGATTGTCAAGCAGTGCGAGTTCCCTCTCACTGGCCCCGCCTGCGTTAGCCGTATTATCACCGATCTTTGTGTCTTCGACGTTGACTTTACCAACGGCCTTACCTTGATCGAGATCGCTGATGGCGTGACCGTTGAGGAAGTCAAGGCTAAGACCGAGGCCCCCTTCAACGTTGCCGATGACCTGAAGCCTATGCTGTAGAAGGTATAAGGTCAATTTTGAATTCGCTGGAGCGTGCATTGGGAACACCGGACATTGTACATAGGAACTAGTTCTCATTTGCGGAGTTTATGAATACGGCAAATCAACTTCAAGATTTTTAATTGTTTATAATGCATCTTCATTAAGATTCCCAGGCCTTTGATAGCCACCAATGGATAGTATTCGTACACTCAAATGGTGATACAGCAGATTCAAGCGCAAATATAAGTAATAATAGTACATGCCATGCAATCACATATAACCCCGCGGTGTCCCAGCAAAAATCGACACCCTAAAATGACCAAGGCAGATCCCATTTATACACAGAGAGAAGAGAGATGGGCCAATTTTTGTTTATATATGGAGGACGGAAAAAAAAAGTCGGATCATGACAACCGGAGGATGCCACCCAGTCTCTTCTTTAAGCGGCCGAACCAGTCGCGATTTGGCGCTTCCTCGAATTCGCGAATAAGGTTATCGTAGTGGTCTGGGTCGCTCGCCGGATACCGGACCTTTTGCGACAAAGGGTAGCGACGCGCAAAGCGATCACTCAAAAGGGAGGTCAGCGCGTTGACTGAGGCCTCTGACAGCTCGCCAGTAGGCTTGGGCGCGGAAGTTGCTTGTGACTGGGGAGAGCCCTCTGTGCGCTTCTGGGCTAGATGTGATTGGAGGTATGTTTGGACGGAGACAGAGGCTGGACGGACCGCATCGGAGGGCCAATGCTTGAGGAGATGGGAGATGCGGGTTTGGAGGGAGCGAGGAGTGACAGACTGTGAGATATTAGCATGGAAGAATTCAATTCTTCAAAGCAAAAGATCCTACATACCGGCTTCGCCATGGTGATGTAGGTGGTAGTACTTCAAGTACTGAGTGGTGGTGACGGGGAGATTCTTCCAAAGTGGTTGCGGTTGCGGTTGTGGTTTGGTAATGAAGGGAATGGCACCTGCCTGAGGCCACCCGCCACTGACACTCCGAGTCCCCGACTCCCCTGTTGCCTTCTTCCCCGTTCTTCCCACCTCCCCCATCTTCCTCGTGATATCTTTCTCTTCTCGTTTGTCCTTCTATTTGCCCTAAGTTGCGTTTTCTTTTGTTTATACTGTTTCCCTCTCCGTCGCCCCCGCTCAGCTCGCCATGAGCTCGCAGCGCTATCAACGGGTTCGTATTCCTTCCCCTCCGCTGATCCGCTTGCCCCAGCCGGGCGCCTCGCTCGGAACATGACTCTGGTCCATCTAACATCCTCTAGGTGAATCCCCGTGATGAAGAAGATGACTCCGAGTCTTATCAGTTGAATCCTCATCGATCCGATCGCAATCCGACTTCTCCGCCTCCATCATTCCGTTCCGGTTCCAGATCATCTTCGCCGTCATCGAGACGTCTCCTGCACGGCGATCCCCAACGAAACGACGACGACCAAACCTTAGCCGATGCATTTGGAAGTGAGGATGAATCAGACAGCGATGAAGAACCCGATGACCGGCAACGTTTGATGCGTGCCAACCAGGAACCTCAATCACCCGTCGATAATGGCCAGGCTGCTGCGACAGCGGCGTCGTCATCGGGACCCGGGAGCGACAGCCAGGATAATTCTCGAGCCTCGGCGCTTGCCCGCCGACCTACAATACTCCCAACCTTTACGCCATCGTCCGGAGGAAGCCGTTCCGTCGCCATGTCGAATGATGGAGTCTTCGCTAACCTTGCGGCCAAGCCGGAACGGGGCGAGAAGAATGAGGATTTGCCTCCCGTAAGTTGAAATCTATACGTATTCGGGCGCTTTCTTTTACTAATGCATCTACCAACTATTCAGTCTTACGAAGAAGCAGCCGCCGATGCGACACCTCCATACTGGGAGACCACGATCGTGGCACCCGGCCTCTCGTCCGATGAAGTCTATGTGGATGGTCTACCCGTTGGATCCATCTTCTCGTTCGTATGGAATGCGATGATTTCGATGTCTTTCCAGCTTGTCGGTTTCCTCTTGACTTATCTCCTCCACACCACACACGCCGCAAAGAACGGCAGCCGAGCCGGTCTCGGTCTTACTCTTGTTCAATACGGATTTTATATGAAGGGAGGTAGCGATTCCTCCGGATCGGATGGAGGCGGCGGCGACCAGTACGTTCCACCGCAAGATCCTAATAGCCATAATTTCGATCCCAACTCAGCTGGCGACACGTCTGGAGGAGGTGGCGGTGGTGGTGCGATATCCGCCATTTCCACCAGCGAATGGATTTCGTATGTCCTCATGATTGTCGGATGGTTCATTTTGATTCGCGCAGTTAGCGATTTCTTGCGAGCACGGCGCCACGAGCAGCTAGTTTTGCAGAGTCCTGACCGTGGTCTTGGTGTGCCCGTCATCGCTGAGGGCGAACGGTCCGAGACCGTTGTCTAATGTCATTGGGTTTTTGGGAAATGAACGGCGTTTTTGAAAGGTTCTGGAGTATTCTTTCTTTTCTTTTTTCCTTGCTATTATATCGACACCCCCCCATCTTGCAGAGACTCTCTCCTTCTTGTCTTTTCTGCCTTGGCCTCTCATTCTGCATTTTTCTTTTTTTCCCCTTGTTCCACGGTTTTGTAACTATTCTGGAGATACCATGTGTTGAATACGTCACACAGCCTCTTATATTTTTTAACATTTTTTTTTTGCCATATTTTCTTTCATATTGTCTGCGTAGACTTTTCTATTCGTAATCGATCGTATTCGAAGGGGAAACCCAACGCTGCGCAAGCTGGCCGCGCACTGCGCCACCTTCGGAGCCCAGGATAGGCAACCTTCAATCTGTCGCACTTCCCTTGCGTCCCAATTCACAAGGGCCAACGTGTTACAAACAAAGTTTATCAGGCTTCTAAAATACCGAGCAGTTCCCCATTGACTACTAATACTCCCTAGTACATAGTTTAACGACCCGCCCATTACCGACGGACCCGCTGTTTATCATCCCCCTCCTCCGCTCCGTTGCCCGCAACGAACAACGAACCAACGCGCCACTCCCCAGGACACTGATATCTCAATTTCCCCAGGCCGGCGCACTGCGACCGCGCCCGCCATGTCGACTGCTGTTCCAACCCAAGGGCCTGTGGAGGCGCGCTCGCTCTCGTCAATCACCACCATCGCATCAAATCCCCCCGCCTATCCGCGCAATCCCACCCACGAGAAGCTCGACCCGTTACAACTATATATCGTGAGGGTACCTGGCAGTCAAGGTAGGTGTCTCTATAAAATTATCAGCATTACATCTGTATCCCACTGTGCACCCGGTCGAGGCAGCCGGCCGAGATCTGGAGAATCTATGCTGACTGTTGCCTGCGTGCGCTTATAACAGATATATTTCTATCCCCCGTTAAACCGCCGACGAAATCGAGTGTATCCGCAGAGGCAATCAATGCATCCCTCTACTATGTCCATGTCGCAACCCCCGAAGACGATGCCTTGTTAGAAGAGGTGGAGCAAGAGCGCGAGGAAGAAGCCCAGCGAAAGAGGGAGGCATTGGACGCTGCGGCTGAGGAGGACCCCTCGCAACGCGACTTTGTTCGAATGAACAATGTTCGCCGGAAGCCAGTTGGAGGACAAGAATCTGCACAAGAGCCTCCTGCGCTGCCTCCAAAAGTACCATTGGAGCATGAACCTCCGCAGCAAGATGCGCCCCCGCCGCTTCCACAGAGACCGCTTCCTATGCCTGCGGTTTCGGCGGAGAATATGTCATTCGCAGGTACACCAATAGCCATTGCGCAGTCATTTTTTGAGGGTGGGACAGAAGCAGCCTTGGTGGAATCAGCAGACAAGCCAGGACTCCCACGACGACCGCTTCCTCCGCTGCCTCCCAGTGAAGAGCCGTTTGGTTCACGCCCCGAAGAGCCAATCAGGAAAACAAATCGATGGAGCAATTTCGCAGATGGCTTGCATGGGAAGGGTTTCGATGCGTGGAAGGAGAAGTACGATTCGTTCTCAGCGGGTGGACGTCATAGCCTCGATTCCAACAGACCCCAATTACCGTCGCGTCCATCAGGAGAACGGCCCTGGTCAACACATAGCCCAGGACAATCCCCGACCCGCCAACGCAAGCAAAACCGAGCCCCTCCAAGTAACGCAGGCTTCACTATTACTCTCATCCGGCGTGATCCTACTTCGGGTACGCAGTGGAATGTCGCAACTATTTCAACTCCGCGCGCGGACTCCAGTGCAATCGATATCGAGATATCTACACCAGGATATAATCGATTCAATGGGTCGCAGGAACCTTTCTCGTTGGCTAGTCTCAGGCGCTAATCTTCCGGCAAGCCTTCCGCCAGAGCTAATACGCGCCGCGGGGGCTTCAATGTCACAATCGTTACCGAAAGATCAGCCCACTGAACAGCCGGCTGGACCGCGCAAGTTTCATCGACAAGTTTGCGTCTCGAGGCAATTCGATGAACCTGCCGGGGAGGAAATAGCACATCGGAGTTCGGTACAGGACATGGACATGGACATGGACATGACTCCTCTTCAAAATTGAAAAGCGGCTACTACGCTTTCAACTCCCCTTGGAACGGTACTTGTACCTTCTCTAGCAGTGTGAATGGCCGCAGCCTGAAATGCAAGCATATGATTTCCGGCCCAGCAACCATTCCAGCCCCAGGCGAAAGTGATCCAAACCCTGCAGTGACTGTGGCTGAGCTTCGCTTCAACACGCCTTTCCAAGCGGCGAACATTCGATACCAGGCAAATCAAGCACATCACCATAATCAATCCCCCGCCTCTCACATATCTTCACACCCTCAGAACCCTAACGATTTTCCGCAAGACCCCGAAGCAACCTCCAAGCGTGCCTCTCTCTCACAGCTTCTCAACCCAAACAACTACTCCCGACAACGTGCCTATTCAGGCCCCAATTCCGCGTCCCCCACCGACAGCCAAAGAGCAAACTTCAATCCCTCTGGCCTCATCCGCAAGACATCCCTCCGGGCATCGCGCTTTGCCCGCCAGAACCAATTCGGCCACTCTCATCGACGCCGCAGTACGAGTACTAGCAGCGGTGGCGCAGACTCGGATGAAGACCGAATGGATTTATCTCTGGCCCGTGAATTAGCTGGAGGAGGACTCAGAGGAAAGAGCGCTAAATTGGGCAAATTGGTTATTGAAGATGAAGGATTCAAAATGTTGGATCTAGTGGTTGCGGCTTGTATGGCCGTTTGGTGGCGCGGTTACTATCATTGATTTTCCTCGCCTATTTTGATGCCCCTCTTTATCATACCTTTGTCATGACATATTCCTTTTGGTCGGCATATGAGCGATATCCATCTTCATCTGGATCTACATAGCGAGCGTTTTATTATCTGAAGGTACAAACATTGAGGTTTACTCATTTTCCTACAGTAGAAAGGGTCATTCTGAGACCCACCTCACCAAGGCCGTTCGCCGTTGAAATATAGCCAAGTTCCCATTGGCAAACGCCCAGATATTTATTTTAAAGAAGAATGCACATATTTCTATCCCAGTATTTCCTCGAAAAGTAGTTAAACCCCCCTATTCGTTCATTAGCTTGAGCTGGTAGTTGATATTTCGAAATGAATTAGGTTTGCGGGAACCCACTTGGGCTGCCTCAAGACGGGACCTTCACGTGCCGAACCGGATCATCCATATCAGCAACTTGAACACTCAATTGCAACTCTTACAACTCCTACTCTCGGAAGTTCAACGAACATCACATCCTAACATGGACAACCCAATAGCTGAAAATGTCCTAGGCACTCTCGGCGCAGTGTGCTGGTCCATCCAGGCAAGTCATTTCCAGCCAACTTTTGAATCGCAGCTAACACTGTCCAAGCTTCTACCCCAAATCGTCATAAATTACAAAAGACACAACACAGAAGGCCTGCAAGGCTCAATGATGCTACTATGGGCAGTAGCCGGTGTCCCCCTTGGCGTTTACAATATCGTGGAAGAGTTCAATGTGGCGCTCCGCATACAGCCGCAGATACTTACAACGCTGAGTTTACTGACTTGGGCTCAGTGTTTGTATTATGGAAAGGTAATCCTGAATCACCAATCACTACTCTTCTCACCTTGATTCAAGGATACTGATTATGTCTCAGGGGTTCTCAATCAAAAAATGCATTGCTGCGGTCGTCCCGCTTCTGCTTTTCTTAGGCGGTGTTGAAACAGGCCTGATCTTTGCATTGAGAGAGGCTAAATCTCGTGGTCTTGAATGGCCACTCATATTGATGGCTGTTTTGAGTGCATCTCTACTCGCGGCTGGTGTCCTACGACACTATTGGGACATTTATGTTCATCGGACCGTGCGAGGAATCAGTTTCTTCTTTGTTGGAATCGATGCTGCGGGTGATTTATTCTCTCTTGTTTCTGTCGGTAGGTTATTTCAAATCCGGGTCCACATTCATTCTTGTACTGGGAAGTAGCTAACAATTGGATGCAGTGTTTGGCCCGGCTCTAGATGCACTTGGTATGATTATCTACGGAACAGAGCTGGTCCTCTGGCTAGGGATTTTCGCTTGTGGCGGGGTTTTCAATTTTCTGCCTTGGCTTCGAGAGCACTCTAAGAAGACTGAGACTCCGTTGGAACCGGTGGAATTGCACCCTATGCCTTCATCTACTTCTGTATTTCGAACTGTATCTGGGGCTGTGGTGGAACGGAGGGGGCGACCACGGTCGACTGAAGCACTAAGTTAAGGGCCTACTAGTAGCCCTGGAGCAGAATATATACCTGACATGGCGATACTAGACATGCAAAATCCTTTTTCTACTCATTTGTGCCATTAGGCATTGACTGTTCTTATATCAACCTCGATTTTTGAGAGGATCTGCCTTATCTATCTATTCAATCCCAAAGCACACTCGGAGATCAGTCGAGTCCAAGACCTCGATCGATGTACAAAATGGCATGGAGCAGGCCAACAAACGATCCAAGAACGTAATCAGAAGCACGCATCGACGAGAAAAAACAAATCCGGTGCGTGCGGGGACAGAAGAAGAAAAAAAAGAAGAATGCAGAAATAATGCAGATCGCCCGGCCTTTCTTCTCTTGAGGTATCTCTTTGCTAACTCGTTATATCAATGCAGGGGGAAGCCGAGTGCGATTCACCAGTTCGGATGAGCCGGAATCATAACCAAGGATTGCCCCAAAATAAAGACAAATAGATCAACGGTGGTGAACATCCATGCCGCGCTGTAGCGAGGACTCCAGGTCATTCAATTGCCCGCCGCCAGCGGCCGCCTCCTGAGGCTTGGGCTCCTCGGTCTTCCAGCCACCTTGCTGGTTGTCGGGGATTGGGACATTGGTTTGCTGGGTCATCTGCTGTTGCTGGGCCGCATGAGCCTGGGAATGTTGACGGACCGTTGCACGGAAGCGGCTGACCTCCTCGAGGATCATGTTGCGCATCTCCGGGACGTCATCGACAACCTCGAAGTGGAAGTCAAAGGTGGACGGGCAGCTAGGCTCGTCCGAGGCATCGTGCCAGATGTGCAGGTAGGGGTGCTCGAGTGCCTCCTCAACAGAGATACGAGACGAGGGGTCAAAGGCCAGCATGCGGTCCAGCAGGTCCAGAGCATCGGGGTTGGCGTTGGGGAAAAGACGGTTGAAGGGGACCTTAGGCATGAAGGGAAGGTTGCGCACATATTCCTGGGCGCGAGGGGATCCAATGCGGGAGAGGGTTTCTTCGTTGGGGGTACCCAGATAGTGCAGGATCTGGTTCAGCTGGTCGACATAGTCACGACCCTTAAAGAAGGGACGGCTGCCCAGCAGCTCGGCCAAAATACAACCGACGGACCAAACGTCAACTGGATAGCGTTAGCCATTACGGGTCTGCTTTCTCCACTCATCACGCTAGGCATATACTTACTGGCCTTGGTATAGCTCTGGAAACTCAACATGATCTCCGGAGCACGGTACCATCTTGTCGCGACATACTCGGTCATATAACCGGCATTCTCCTCCGGGTCAATGGAAAAGCCACGGGCCAGGCCGAAGTCACAAATCTTGAGCTCGCAATCGGCGTTGACGAGCAAGTTTCCTGGCTTCAGATCACGGTGCAAAACGTTGGCGGAATGAATGTACTTGAGACCACAAAGGATTTGGTAGATGAAGGACTGGAAATGCGCATCGGTCAAAGGCTGTCCGGAGCGGATGATGGCAGCCAAGTCACATTCCATCAGTTCTGCAAGAATTGTCAAAGATTATTCGCCGCTTTCAAGCCATGTAGAATCGCATCTGGGACATACCCTCATAGAGATATGTTTCATTGAAGTTATCGGGTCGGGGAATGTCCATATCGTACAGGCATGTAATCTGAGGGTAGAGTCGTGGGTCAGCGGGGTGAACCAGGAGCGGTCGCGGGGAGTGGGAGAGGAAGTACATTGCGGTGGCCCCGGAAATGCTGGAGCAGCTTGATCTCTCTCAGGGCGCGCTTGGCGAGGATCTTCTTGCTGAAGACGTTGGTGACCTTCTTGATGGCGACGCCTTCGCCAGTCTGGGAGTTGGTTGCGGCGCTAAAGACAAACAGAGAGACAAAGGATTAGCCGTGGGCACTCGAGTAGGAGGGAGCGCAACGGGGGAGAGGCCTACCAGACGATGCCGTAGGCACCTTGGCCCAGCTCCTTGGTAACCGTGTAGTTTTCATTGACGATGAAGTCTTGGTTGAAGACCTTGAAGACCTTGCGACCTTGAAGCTCAGCCATGGCGGCGGGGGTCCACGAAGGAAGATGGAGGGGGGGAGGGGCGAGAGGCGGAAGTGAAAGAGTGGAAGAGGAAAGAAGGAGGGTCAACGAAGAAGAATTCTGACAGCAGTGGAGATGGCGTATAGAAGAAAAAGGGGAATGGGGAAATGTCGAGTCAAGGTGTGAAGTGTCAAGTGTGAAGTGTGATGAAGGGCTGAGAAGAAAGGGAAAGAGCCCCGCTGACCCCGCGGGTACCACGGCTGATCGCTGCCCTTCCCAAAGAGGCCACTCCCTCCACTACACTCCCTCGGATTCGCAGATTCGAGCCTTCTTGTTGACCACGAACTCTTCTATCTGGGTCTGTCTCTTTGTTCCACGTATTCGTATGGGCAACTTTCCTTGGGAAAGCACCCGCTCCGCCAAGGGCCTGCAAAGATCCACAAACACCCTCAATATCATTGATAATTGCTGGGCGTCAGCGAGTGCGTTGTGATTCTGTCCCACGAGGTCGTGCCCCTCGAAGGCTCGAACAATAGCGGGAACAAGATTTCCGGTAATGGTAGGTAATGGTGACCTGGAAAGTAGTACTGAAGTATAAAATGACGAGCACAGAACAGTATGGCGCCGGATTAATTCCAAATGATTCCAAAAATTGTACATGAGAATATTCAGTATCAAGAATGAGTCCAACGCAGTTCCTGGCAGATCTTGATGAACCCGAGGTCTTTTTCAGGGACGTAGAACTAAAGTACTTTATGGAAAATTTCCCGACATTTTTCAACCCCACTAGAGCTCCAGACGGCGCCTTGGGGATTTGGCGATTTCATAGAGCGAGGATATCTGTAAGTTACATGACTGTGTTTACAAAAGACTCTGTTTTTGTAACTTCTGGAAATTGTGGAATAAGCTGAACCTCAACATTTACTTCATTTTTGTAAATAGGCAACAAATACATCCCCCTACAGAGTGCTTACGAGACGACGCTCCTTGCGGAGCACCCGAAGCTTCTCCCTCATCTCATCGATGCCGACCATAACACCCTTGGCGTGGCTGGAGGGATCATCCCTAGCCCGACAATTGACCGTTCTGCTTTCCATCTCCTTTTTAAAGTTGTCAGTGATTAGTTCTTTTAAGCTACGCTTCTTGCGGTAGGTTCCATAGCGGAGGAGCTTACCTGTTGACCCACGACGAAGATGAAGTTGGCATGAGAGAGGGTCGCAGTGCGAATCTTCTTTTGGAGGGTGTTTCCACTGGTGTCAACTTCCACGTAAAGTTTATCGGCGGCGAAAATCGATTTGACCTCCTCGGCGTACTCGTTCAGTTGGGGCATAACCGGAACGATTATGATTTGTCGGGGAGAGATCCAGAAGGGGAACTTCCCTGCGAAATGTTCGATTAGGATACCCAAGAACCGTTCGAATGAACCGATAATTGCGCGGTGCAGAACTACTGGACGCCCGCGGTTCGGAGGAAGCCAGTCTTTGTCCTTGGCCTCATCATCCTTTACGGCCTCATCGATGTTCTTATTCTGGCTTTCGTTGGTTTGATCTGTTGTAAGAAGGGTCAGAAAGCCGCATATGTGCTGCTAGTGGTTGGTATATGTGGCAAAGACACTCACAAGACAATTTGAAGTTATGGCTAGCCTGATAATCAAGTTGGATAGTCTATTTTCAATTGTTAGCCAGCTGGCACATTCCGCAGGAAATTTTGACACGTACCGCGCACTGATGGCTTCTCTGAAGACTATCACTTAAAGATATGTCGATCTTCGGCCCATAGACTGGTTATAAATTGTGAGCTGGCGAATTCTTGGTGAGGTAGTTTAGAGGGATGTGTTACTCACACGCGCCATCGCCCTCGTCAATAGTCCAGTCTTTACCACAGAAGTCGGTCAACGCCTTTTTGAGCTGATCCTCGGCATTATCCCACTCAGCGATTTCTCCCATGTACTTCTCTGGCCGAGTCGACAACTTCAATTGGAAAGAGAATCCGAACAGCCCGTAGACACTTCTCAGGAAATCGAAGAGATCCTCGATTTCGGCACGCTTCGTATGTTTGTCAGCTTATTCGATATATAGATTCAGAAAGGGGGATTATCATAACTTACAATTTGATCCTGGGTGCAGAAGATGTGGGTATCGTCCTGTTGGAACTTCCGCACTCGGGTTAGCCCACTAAGCGCTCCAGAGGCTTCATTGCGGTGAAGAACTCCGAAATCCGCAATCCTGGATTATAGTTAATACTTGGTCGATATCCTGGTGTTTGCTGCAGAAATAACATACCTGAGGGGCAACTCCCGGTAACTTCGTTCACGATGACCGAACAAAATAAAGTGGGCTGGGCAGTTCATAGGCTTAAGAGCCCAGTTCTTCTTCTCAACGTTAAGCTGAAACATGTCATCGGCGTAGTGCTGGAAATGACCGGATGTCTAACTTCTGAGTCAATGTCTGTGTTGAATGGGAAAAGTAAAATGTGATTATACAGACCTTCCACAGGCTGACATCGAACATGTTCGGAGTCTGGACCTCCTGGTAGTTGCGCTTGCGGTACTCCGACCGAAGCAGCTTTTGGAGGGCATTGAAGATCTTGGATAGTTAGTATAGATAGGTATATTGACGGGGTATGCCACGAGTGACTTACCCTTGTACCAGCGGGAAGCAAGAAAGGGGATCCGGGAGAGGTCTCGTCAAAGAAGAAGAGCTCCTGCTCCTTGCCCAGTCTTATGTGATTGCGCTTCTCTGCCTCCTCGAGGAACCTATAGAACGGTCAGTATCACTACTTTGAAATTGTGGTCCAATAGTAACAAACTTCAAGTGATCTGCCATTCGCTTCTTGTCTGGGAAAGCAACACCTCGAATTCTCTGCAGACTGTCTTGCGACTGGTCGCCGAGGAAGTAAGCGGAGGAGTTTTGCATGATTTTGAATGTCTTGATTTTGCCTATGGAAGGGTTAGGTTAGAGTTTTCTTATTAGGTAGGGAGTCAAGAGCAGATGAAGGGTTTACCTGTGTTTTGGATATGAGGGCCACGGCAAAGATCAACCAGATCACCGTTACGGTAGACGGTGCTATACTCGCCCACCACCAATTTTTCGATATAGTGCAGCTTGACACCAAGTTAGCTCAACCCACCGCAATCACCCCAGCCCCATAGGCTGCATGGGCAGTTGACGGCAAACGTTACTTACCTTGTAGGGAGAATAGCTGAACATGCGACGCAAATCTTCCTTAGATACCTCCAGGCGGTCGAAACTCTCCTTTTGCTTGAAAATCTTGGCAGCCTTCTGTTCAAGGGGCTTCCAATCACTTTCAATGACAGCACGTCTGCTCAGATAAGGAATATTAGCATAGTGATACCGTAATAACTAACGTATTCACATACCCTCCAGGCATAGCCATATCGTAGACTAAGATAATGTTAGCACCGTCCTCTGATCCTTTCAAGTTGGAGAGCTTAACATACAGAAACCCTGGGGTGTAGGAGGACCGTGGCTCAGGAGGCAGCCGAACTGAGCTTCGCAAGACTCTCCAAGACAGTGAGCCGAAGAGTGCCAGACTATATGTTATTAGACTTGAGCTTGGAAGAAGTAGCAGAGCTCAACATACAAACATTCCGAGCCTCGGGGTCGGAAAATGGGACCAGGATAACGGCAGAATCGGCCTCGAGTGGACGGTTCAGATCCCATAGTTCTCCATTGACCTTCGCGATAACAACCTCGGCAGCCACGTCCTTTGGCACATCGCGCAAGAATGAGCCCGGTGTAGTTTCGAAGGCCTTTGCGGGGACCGACTTAGGGCTACCGTCGCCAATATCGAGAGAAACTTCGATCGAAGGGTGATCCTTGGCCGCGAGGTCCTTGAGGTGCTTTTGCCACAATTCTTCGAACAGATTGTTGCGCTCGATCGCCCAGTCGGGGAGGGGCTCGCTAGGAGGGGCTTGTTTTTTGGCGTCTTGAGGCGGGGCAGCAGCAGCAGGATTTCCTTGAGCTTCGGCGGCAGGGCGCACGGGGAGTTCCTTTGGGGCTTCGGAAGCCATAGTGCAGACCTCTGGAAACAGTGACAGAAAAATTGACTGTGAGGAAAGGATGGGGATCCAAGTCTGACTCGTTTTGACTCACTTGCTCGAGAAATAATAATATGACTCTACCGTAGAAACGGGCGGGCGGTGAGTCATGTGACTGTAAACTGCCCTTACAAGCGATGTACCCGGAACGCCGTATGCATACGAAGTTTCCACCACCCGAAAACTTCTTCGTCCAACCCCCAATCCCGCAACAACTCAACATGTCTTTCCGTGGGCGTGGTACCGGTGCTAACCGTGGTGGCTTTGGAAGCCGAGGTGGTGGTGAGCAATTCTTCCTTGTCGCATGCGAAATAGTCGGACGGAGCAGCTAATGAAATTTTTTTCCGTCCAGGTCGCGGAGGCTTCCAGCAGTCGTTCGGTCCCCCAGCTCAAGTCTTCGGTACTTATAACCCCGTCTATGCGAATTCTACGGCCGCGATACTGATTTTTTTTGTTAGAGATGGGAACTGTCATGCACTCCTGTGAGGGTGAGATGGTCTGCGAGTCGATCAACCCCAAAATCCCGTATTTCAACGCCCCGATCTACCTCGAGAACAAGGTACGCCAACACCCCGGATATTACGACCCTCAATGGTTGTCGCAATGAACTAGAGCTAACAAGTTCTTGTAATAGACCCAAATCGGCAAAGTTGACGAGGTCCTCGGACCTATCAACCAGGTCTACTTCACCATCAAGACCTCCGAGGGTATTCAAAGCGAATCCTTCAAGACTGGCGACAAGGTCTTCATTGGCGGTGACAAGCTCCTCCCTCTGGAGAAGTACGTCTCCCCTTCCCTTACCCCCCCCCCTTGGGCCGTTGCGAGAAGGAAGAAAACTGACCATTCATACTAGGTTCCTCCCTAAGCCCAAGCCTCCCCCCCGGAGCTGCTAAGCCCAAGCGTGCCGGCGGTGCTGGTCGCGGCGGCGCCCCACGTGGTCGTGGAGGCTTCGGTGGCCGTGGAGGTGCTCCCCGTGGCCGTGGAGGCTTCGGTGGTGGCCGTGGTGGTGGTTTCTCCCGTGGAGGTGGTGGTGGTTTCGGTGGTCGCGGCGGCGGTGGCCGTGGTGGCGGTTTCTCTCGCGGCGGCGGTGGTGGCCGTGGTGGTGGCCGTGGCCGTGGTTGGTGAAGATACTACTCACCGATTGTATTGTCTTCTTTCGGCGTTTGGGGGATCTGGGAGCTTTTGCAGGAACATTTCCTTTACTTCTTGTGCATCCTGACACAACTGCTTGTTTCCGTGACTGCAGGGACTGTAGAATATATCCAGTCACAAAAAGACGATCTGATTGCTCTTGTTTCGAATGTTCAATGGATGCTTTAGAGTATACACTTACTGGTTTTCAAATTGTAGCGACATAATAATTTGACTCTACCTAAGGGAAACGCCAAGCCACATGTGGTTGGTGTGGCTAATGTGGCTAGTGTATTGTGTGCACAGCCTCGTGTGGCACACCGCCAGCCCCGGCTATCGCACATCGGGAATGACGTTGACCGCTCTGCGGAACTGCGTGCCCGTCAACACTTTCAAGCAGGATTAATTGCCCATTCCTCCTCCCGCAGTCCCCTCTCTAGCCCCCTTTCGATCCGACAGCACTTCCAATCTTTTTCCCTGAGCATGTCTCGCAGAACCTCGACCATGGCGTCGAATAGTTCCAAGGTCCCGTCCTCCGGCGACGGAGGTCAGTTTACGATCATCTTTCAACCCCACAGAGACATGTGAAACTCACACCGCGCAGGCCAAGAAAAGCAGAAAATGCTTCTTTCTTCAGACCATGGACATTTCAGCTTGGTCAAGTCAGTTCCCGGGGATTTTCCCCGCCGTCAAGTCCTGCCAGGCTCCCGCTAACCTTGCACAGGGCTCTCCATCTTGCTGATTTGGTGACTGAGCTCAATGGTATGCTTTGCCTCTAGCTGTATACAATACTTTAAAGCTTCTAGATACTGATATTGTACTCTTCACAGGATTCTGCGGAGGCAAGTCCGGTTTTTCTACCAACTCAACAATCCTCGGCTAACCGTTGGGAACAGTTATGTCCGTTTTCTCTTCCATGCGCTACTGTCTCGGTGATGCCTCAGACTACGGTGCGCTGTGGGCTGCTCTGGCATTCATGCCATTCGGTCTATTCTTTGACTTCATGGACGGAAAGATTGCCCGGTGGCGCAAGAAGTCCTCGCTGATGGGACAGGAACTCGACTCGCTCGCGGATCTGGTAGGTTAAACTTTTACCCTTCCCCTGACGCTATTAACCGGCCGCTAACCATAACTCGTATCTGGTCAGGTTTCCTTCGGCCTCGCCCCCGCTGCTGCTGCCTTCGCGCTCGGTATCCGCACCTCTGTCGATCACGTTCTCCTCACTTTCTTCGTTCTCTGCGGTCTCACCCGCCTGGCTCGGTTCAACGTCACGGTCGCTGTTCTCCCGAAGGATAAGAGCGGAAAGTCCAAATACTTCGAGGGCACCCCTATCCCGACTACTCTGGGTATTGTCGGTCTTATGGCTTACTGGGTCTCCGAAAGCTGGACCCACGAGAACATTCCGCTCGGTCTGGTTGCCGAGGGCACAATCTTTGAGTTCCACCCGGTCGCTCTGATGTTTGTCTTGCACGGCTGCATGATGGTCAGCAAGACGATACACATTCCTAAGCCTTAAGCTTGAGGTGACAAAACAAGATCTGGTCAGGTAATCCATTTGGGAGTAATTGCCTGAAGATTGTCCCTTTTTTTGGACAAAGGGGCATGAAAATAAACGAGAGAAACTCTACTGTTTATAAGCAAGCCTGGACACGATCTCAATATACTTAATTGTGGATGATCTTGGGTCTAGTTGAATAGATGATAGCAGCCCTGTGCAGGATCGTCAAAATTCTCTACTCAACATAGAGTAAATGTCTTCATTTTCAACGATGTGAAAAAGCCGCTCTTGAATAGAGCATAAATAGAACGAATATGAATGTCTTCGATTGCAATGAATTGGTTTTTTGTCGACCCATGGTCATAGGATCCGGTCCCAGCCGAAATGGAATCAACACTCAACATGGCCAAGGGTACCATAGAGAGCCATATGCGCACGCAATGTTGACGAAGCGTCAAGATTTGTCGCATACTCCTTCTTGCAGGACTACTCATGTCCCCAAAGCGTGCTTCATGACTTTCAATTCGTTAAAGCTGATATATTGACAAGCCTTGCAACTCCTCTCTCCTTCGTTCACGGTATAGACACCTCAAACCCGAGTCAATCACAAGACAATAAACAGCTAAAGATATTGGTAGGTTCCAAAAATATCACTTTTGCTGTTAGCTGTCGAATTTGCGGCCACGATGGCATATACAAACGAGTCCACGACGACAATCCCAACGGAAACGCAGGAAGACCATATTACCAATGCGGGAGGTGCTACACGTTCTTGAAACTATACGTTCTTGAAATTCTGGGACGATCGAGGAATAAACCTGAGCAACCCATTCTGTGAGTGTGGAGAGCCAAGTAGACGTCAAATAAACGGCTATGATCATCATGTACCTCGTGGCATACATTATGTTTGCAACGAGGGAATCTTTTTTTTTCTATATGGAAAAGCGAAATTCGTACGGAGAGCAGATCCAAGTTCCGAAGGACTCTGTTGGGGAAATTCGCTCGCAACTCTTATATTTGATAATGCTACTAGTACTCAGGTGTGTTGTTGCTTGAAAGGGTTCGATCTTGCTTCGATTTATATTTCGGCCTTGATGGTTTGTCAAACGGGAGTGTGCCCCGGTGCGCGAGAAGTAACGCTGGATGAGGCTCCGAGTCTTTTCATGTTCAGTACTGAGTATCGGTATATAGGATACGAGGCGTCATTTGAATCGCCAAAGCCTCGTTATAGTTTTTAATTGAGAAAAGCGAATAAAAAGTTGAGTTTGTTGGCCCGAATCTCAACAAACTTACTTTAGTGACACTTTCGCAGTCGAAGACGCAATGTCCTCAGTTTTGCATGCTTCCTTTATTTCATTGAAGCCAGTTTCCAAGTAAAACTACACCGAAAACCACCTGTCCCGGTTGCCCAGCCAAATGCACAAGCCAAAAGCCGACGTTGCATTCTCAGGGGCGAATTGAGATGAAACACTCTACTCCGTAGGCAACCATTGATTTGAGTATACTCCGTACAACCAATTTTATTGAGTGGGTCGGTTCGAGCTGTCACTTCTTAGCTGCAGAGCACCATGGGGAGGTCTCTTCAGGGTCTTCACCAATACACATTTGGTGCCTCAGGATTCTCCGTATGTACAGGACTCCAGATGTTGCCTACACGACACAATCAGGTACATAACCCGTCGTAGCTGGCTGATTAATGGCCGTTCATGCACGCGAGGCCACCGGCAAGTTCTAGACCACCGATCCCTACCAAGCAAAGTTGAGAGTCCACACCCCCCCAATCCACAGACCGAGTCGAGGACCAACAGCAGAGAAAACATACGCTATTACGGAGTACATACACAGAACGAGTTGAAATTTTACTCTTCTGCGTTGTTCAATTTTGATCCTGGCGGCGCAAGGGGCTAGATGCACCCAAGATTTCCTTCCGGCAGGAAGTGGGGGGTTCCGACCGCTCTAGCAGACGCCACGACTCCATAAATAACAGGTGGTGAGTCAATTTGCCGGATTAGACAGGTCTGGACAGGGTCTCACGCAACTTTGCTTTTCATTTGAGATGAACTGTTTGTCTATGCGGCGGGGTGGTTCATCCAGTGGGGTGGATTGGTTATTTACCTTACGGTATGCTTGAGATCCTTGCCTGGTTGGAAAGGGAACATGTACTCCGTACGAGTATGAAAGATCTCATTTTGTATAGATTTCTGAGATGGCTTGTACACTTAATGTGAAAACATCTTTAACTGAAAAAGATACGTGATCGTAAGTACTGGAGGCTGAAGTTAGGAGATCTTCCGTAGCCGATCCCGGGGTCACTCCGGGTCCTCGCTAGCAATCCTTGGGCTCACCATTTTTGGGTACATTGGCGATTCATGACTAGATAACTTTTGTCTCCCAAATTATGGGGATGTTCTTTCGGGGATAAAGTCATGGATGGTGGTAGTAGGATTCAGGCTTGTTGCCCATGTGCTACAGTACTAATTACTACGAGGTACTAAATAATATATATATCAACCACTTCCAAGGTTGAAAGAGTACTAGCAACAACTGCCCAGGTGCGACACTGCACAAGCAGTGTTCACCTCCAAACTCGGGTATCTTATTTCTATATCACTCAATAATCATCAGCTAGAAATAACCGTTCTTTGAGCCCATCTTTGTGCTAAGTTTGACGATGACGCAGGCTGCAAAAGTGGACTTGAAAGACAGCTCATCGCTCTGAGAGGAATGTGGTTGGGCAAGCAGGTGTGGGCTGAGCACCCACTATGATGATCAGGCACTCAAAGACCTCTTTCTACTCTGTCCGTCGTGGTCGTCTTTGATTCTAACATTTGGGAATTTCTAGTCCTAAATCCGTACAACCACATGTCTAGCGACAAGCACGCGATGTGCGGGTAAACCGGATGATTGGAGTGCATTTGATGGATGTAATATACATACGGTACGGTTACGGCAAAGGAAGCGAATCCTTGGGTGTCTGGTCCACCGCCGGGAGTGTCCGTTGGGAATCCGTGGTAATGCCCATGCAAAAAAAAGGGGTTGCACACAGTCGAAATTCGAATGCACTCGGAGTGGTGGGTATTTCCAAGGGTTTGAAGATAATATCATCCATCTTCAACAAAGTAGTTTGGAGGTGTATATACTCTGGCTGTCCCCGAGGCAAGACTAGACGAGGGCTACTGTAGGCTTAATCCCTAGCGCTGGCGACATCAGTCGGGAAAATGGGCTCCATGCGCTAACGGGTTTCATTTCCCTCACAAGCATACGGAGTCAGTAACCGTTCGTATTTGTCTAGGAGGGGGAGGATACCCCGTACATGCCAAGGGTCAGGTTAATTAGGAAGCCGCTTGACCACTGTTGTATCGAGTTGAGATGCCCTAGTTAATCCGAATTCGCGTCGGTTAGGGCATCACCGGCTTCGGAGGGGTTTCATGTTCATGTGGCAAGTGATGATCGCATGAAGATAATAATCAGAAAGGGCCCCGGGGGCGCCACAGTCACACCCACCCGGCCTCTCAAGGGCCACAGGGGGAAAGGCAGGGCCCCCAGAGTGGCACCAGTCAGGCCGTGTCTGGTCGAAAGGGAAAACGATCGCTGCGGGCCCAGGGTCGTACCTGATGAGGTCAGCGTAAACAAGAGGTTTGATTGGAGTGGATGGAGTAGATGTGGAGTGGTTTGATTACCGCCAGGAACACAGCACACACAAACAACGGGAGGAAGAGGAAGGAAGAAGGAACTGCAGGGGAAGGTCTGTATGAGTATTGATACAGAAAATAGTTAGGAGTGCTGTAGTACAGCCAATGCCAAGTATGTACTGGTACCTTCACTAGATGGTAAATTAGTATGGGCCAAGAAGTACCCTAACCTCTCCGGTGCTCTGGCTCTGGGGAACGGACCCCTATTACATATGTGTACCTAGTGTACCTAGTAAACATAGTATATACATAGTGTATGAGTATTACCGAGTGTCAACGGATGAACGCGAGAGTCGAGCGGAGGTGCCCCATCAGACTACTCCCCCTTTCGTTCTGAAGACTCTCCCTCCTTCCCTTCGACATTATCCCACATCACTCCCCCCCATCAACAACACCCTCACGCTCTTTACTTCGAGGGACCCTGCTTTCACACCCACTTCCAAACTCGACCGCTTGCTTTCGCCCACTCGCCAATCCTATTCCGCCTTTGACGCTTCTCACAAAGCCGATTAGGGGGCAAGCGCTGTGAAACCGGTCCCTCGTCCACTTGAATCGTTTCACCTGGGGATCGTCTAAACCCCCATTTCTCTCGCTGTTTCTCCCAATTTCGCTCCTTCATATCGATCGATCTATTGTCCCTTCGCTCGTCTTCCGCGACTGCGATATCCCAGGAGCCGAGCTTCTCCTTCCACAAGGCCCTGGTTGATTCCACCACGACTCTGCTCGAGCTCTCTGCGCCGACTCGAGTGCCGGAGATTCTCAAGTGACGACCTGTATTACTTTTAGTCGTCCTTTTTTTTCCCCCCATCGAGAAGTTCCCAAGGGTTACGCAGGTCGTTCCTGGTTCTTCATTCCATCCGCTCCGACTGTGTCTGACGCGGTACTACCTTTCCACCTTTCTTTCTTTCGTGATCTAGATCTCTCCTCCCTCTCGTCGTCATCATGCGCTTCACCACGAAATCCGTCCTGAGCCTCCTGTTGGTGGTCGGCTCCGCCTCGGCCAAGTCTTTCCATCATATGGCCATTCACAAACGGTCTGGTAGCAGCTTTGTCGGTTGCTTTAGCAGCGCGGGGAGTCTCGGCGGTTCGACAAAATTCACGTACCAAAGTACTGGATGGTGCTCGGATCACTGCACTAGCAAGAGCGCCTCATATTTTGGCACGACTAATGGAAATGAATGCTTGTGTGGTAGCTCCGCGCCTGACTCTTCAGACAAAGTCGACACCAGCAAGTGCGATACCCAGTGTGCAGGTTACCCGCAGAACAAGTGTATGTTGTTGGTGTTGATGCTGGAACCCCCCATGATGATTCGATTTGCCTTACTGATCCAATAATTACAACTCTTAGGCGGCGGTGACGGCTTTTATTCCGTATACAGCTTTGATAACGGCGATGATGATAGCTCATCAACTTCGGCCACCACTACTACTGGCGACTCTTCCCCAACTAGGACTGATGCCGCAATGGAGTCAGTCTCGACGAACGCTGGAGGCCATACCGTTATTATAACTACAACCCCCACAAGCGCCGGAACGAGCGATGACAGTGGCTCCAAGGGTGGTGGCACAAACACGGCTGCGATCGCTGCTGGTGTAGTCGTTGGTGTAGTCGGTGTCGCAGCTCTGGCTGGTGGTGGATTTTTCTTCTACCGCTCTCGCAAGCAAAAGGCTGAGGGTGCTGGTGCCGGCTTCTCCGGTAATACTCACCAGCAGATGTCGGACTCGCGATTCGACGGATCTTATATGGCCGAGCGCCGCCAAAGCAATGGCAGCATCGACGACGACCATGATTTCTCGCGCCGGATTTTGCAGGTCACCAACCCTGATCATCGCTAAGGCATACGACGACCACCATCAATCCTCTCCACTTCATTCCGCCCACTGCATCGTGCGTTGTCGACGCCCTTTCCCTCTCATCCGATATCCCACCCCATGAGAGATCTGTTTTTATTCTTTTTCTTCTCTTGTCATATTTTCCTCGGGTTATTTTTAGCGGAGTTATGATATCCGAAAGGCATACGGCTCGACCCGATTCGGTGTCCATACTTGGTGAATTTAGTTTGAATCTGTTTCTACTCTGACCGTGCCTTCGCGGATGACGTGCATTTACATGAAGCCCCGCGTGAAGTCTACGCCAGCCTGCGAGTACGACTTGATAAAAGGGACAGTACCCACCCCAAGCAACCCAATCCAGTCGATCGCATCGAAAGGCCATCCATCCCACGTGCCGAGCTGTGGCATACCGTCTTTATGGACTTTGAGGATTAGGCGGTATTCTAGTATTCGAAAAGGCGTTTCTTTCTATTTTCTTTCTCGGCTCTATCGATGCTCGCTAGAGCAGACTTGTCTCATTCCCACGATTTCCTTTTTTCACCCTCAATTCTTTTTCTTCAGCCTTCCATTCGACCGGTCTGAACAGCATGTTCAAGTGTATTCCCGAGTTGCCTTCTTTTTTTCCCCCAAGTGCCGTGGAATGGCGCTGTAAGTAGGAAATATGAGTTAGCCTGTATTTAATGCGAGAATGGATATGCACACCAACACACGTCACATTGTAGTAGGCCAGCTCAGGCTCAAGGTAGAGTGTATACTTACCAGGAGAATGATTTTGGATCGTTCGAGGTAGAGACTCTACCTACGGTACCCCTGCCCAAAACTTCAGGTCGAACGATCCCTGCGCTTTCAATGAGCGTTCGGTGTCTGATTGCTGGTTGGTGAGTGCGATTTTTCTTTTCTTAAAGATCGCTAGATCTGGTGTATTAAGATCTGCCTGTGATACCCAGGAACACCCAGGAGCTAGTCTACGAGGCCATGAAACAAGCGGTTAAGGGTACTTGTAAGATCAATAACGCAGGGAGTTCTCTACATGAAGGTGGAAGGTGGGAGCCTCCAGATAGTTAGAAAAGCAGTGTCATACTACTTTTAGTGTCTCTAGATATTATTAGAAACAATCTTTAGTCTAGAGGGATTGATTTGGCACTGGTCATGGGGTTCTTTGAAGGTGATGACATTTGAATCCATCCTATCTCGCCAAGCTTGAAGTTTCAACTCTCAGTTGGACAAAGTATTATTCCAAATACTCCTAACTAGAACACCATCCGCCCATTCTCCGTTTGTCCAGTCCTTCTTGACTGTAAATTGGACATTTTTGCTTTCCCCCAGGGCCAGCCAGAATCCATTGTCCGAGAAATAGCCCTGCACTCCGAGTGGATGATCTAACCACACCCACGCCGCCACTCCGCCGTTCGCTTCAACACGGAAGTTATGGCCCCCGGCAGAACGAGAGATTCGAAGTCCCGGATCTTGAATCTTCGCCTTTCCCAGGGACTCTGGATGGAAGAAAGATGTATGCGCATATGTCATCTTTTGGGACTCATTGGGTGCGACACTATCACCGGAGATATCCACGCGAAGGAGGGAATTTGACAAGTCAAGATCAATGTAGTCATTCAGAAGATTTGTCTTGAATATAAGAGTCGAGTTGATGGCTCCAACCGTGAACGGAATCGTCTTGGAGATAGGCTTGTTCGGCCCAGAGAGTGGATTCCCCCTCCAATCCATCCAGCTCAGTTTCGCCGTCCCACTAACTGGAGACCAAAGATCAGACATGACCCAGGCTTCCAAATCACCCGTGATATAGTTATAGAAAGAATGCCCGATAACGGGCTGGAAGATGTCTTTTGCGCGATAAAAGAGAACCTTCCAGCGACCGTCAGGTTCGATGCTGGACCATGTAGGTGCAGCCCTGAATACGTAAGACATTAGTGACCCATCGCCATCCGCGGGCTTGGAAAGAGGAGCGTCTATTACCAAAGATCTTCTAATTGCCAATACAGCGACCCGAGATTTCGCTGTGGCATACCGGAACCACGTCTGTAGAAGGCTAATTCGGAGGTGTAAAAGTCGGCCTGGAAGACCTGAGTTGTCCAGCACCACGCACTATGAAATTATTAAGAAAGGGCGCTCTATATTAATGGCCATAAACTAACCTGAAGTTCGCTATACTGTTCTGTATATCTGGGACTGGATACCAATCTTGTACTGCAGCAGTCATCTCTTCGAGCCCTAGAACCGAAAGTTCTCGATCAGTAGCATTGGCAGGTCCTCCAAAAGGGTAATGGCGATTGTGATGAATCACCATGTCCGAGGACATAAAGAGCTGGTCATCCGGTATGACTTGCTTCCAGGAATAAACCGAGGGCATGGAGATGAATCCGAATTCAGTAGCAAATCGACCAACTGGATAGGAGCTAAGATTGAAGGCTTGGCTCGCATCATAGTTATATGTGTCTATGTGTTATTGGTAAATACAAGCAAGAAGTCTAGCGTTAGATTGAAAGAAGGCCCTACCTGTATTTGCGTAGATATAACCTGGTCCAGATGTATTGTGATACCGTGGAAGCTGGGGCATCGTGGAGCTAAAGTTCAAACTCAAGAATCCGTTGTATGTGCTTTTGCCTCATTCTGTTAAAAGGGAAAGGAAAAAGCAACAATAAGTAGTAGATACTCACGATGATGGAATGTAGCTGATTGATTTTGTATTTGAGTAAACAGCCCCAATCAGCAATTCTAGAAAGATATGCTCGTATTCGCGGAGAAGGGTCCCGGGATTATCAGGATCAAAGAAATAGCTCAGCATGATCTGCTCTAGCTCGTTGCCGCCGGCCCAGAGGGCAAGACTGGGATGGTGGTTGACGCGACGCTGTTTCATTCTCAGTTACCGAACAATTGGAATAAATGGAAATGACTTCATACAACTTGATAAGTGGCCTCTGCTTCATACTGAGCCAGGTAGCTGGAATTGGCAGGGTATTCGGCATCGGAGAATTCTTGAGCGTATTAATGATTGAATTGGGTGCCCTGCCTAGGTTTCTTACCAAACTCAGACCACAAGAGAATGCCCATTTCATCTGCAATGTCATAGATCCAGCTAGGAAGATAGGCGCCAGATGACCATACTCGGAGCATATTTTGATTCTTTTATCTGGGTTAGCTTATTTTAATCAGATAATCAATCAGAGTTGGATTCTTACTCCGACAACAACGGTCTCAAATAGACTAAAGGAGATTATAAGCACAATTATCGTCTAGTGGAGGTGATCTGTCATACTTTCGTATCTTTGTTTCGTTCACTCTTGGCCAGAAGACATCAGGCGGAACGAGATTTGAGCCCTTGGCATAAAATTCATGGCCATTAACCTCGAAGTGAAAGTTCGAGCCAGGCGCAATACCCTCAGCCTGTTTTTCTTTTGTCACTGGTAGCAGATTTAGTACGACAGTCCGAAATCCAACTCTGCGAGAAATTTCTGAAATGGTTTTCTCGCCATGAAGAATTTCGATAGTGGCATTGTAGAGCGGTTGTGACCCCAGTCCTGTCGGCCACCAAAGGTCAACCAACTTGGGGTCAATAGTGATACTCCCCTCTATCGTGTTCGTGGATTGGTAGGTATCATCCAAAGTCCGATTCAATATCAACTTTCCGCTAGCATCATTCAAGAAGACACGCAGTGAAGAGTCTCGAGGCAAGGTGCCTAGATAATCAAGGCTCACATTGAATATCCATGGCTGGGACTGATCTGGCGGGATATTATTCATCTGACCTTTTCGAAATATATCTATCAAGGCGTTTCGAACGTATATAGGTGAAGCGGAATCTAGCTGTACGACCCGTGCCGGCTGCCAGATCCCAGCGGGTGCTATCTTTGGAGCCCAATCCCAGCCAAAGTCAGACTGCTCCTTACGCATGTATTCTTTGCAGCAGAATTCTTCGGTTGGGCCACCGTCTGCGCTATTCAAGAGAGCTGTTCCTTTCTTTCAGAAATTTAGAAATGTATAAGGAAGGTCGGGACGTACGGTCGCCATTTTCTGCTATCTCTTTTACTATCTTGGAGGCGGACCCGAAGTTGAGACTCAACTTGGGCTCATCCTTGCATGAGCGAACTATATCGGTCACATCGAAGTACCATTGGCGGAACTGGTTGTCCGTATTTCCAACAAATTGATTACAAAATTCGATAGAGGCAAAGGTGTCAAGGCCATCGAAAATAAGCCACGTTGAAAAATCCTCGGTTTGACTCCTAGTTAAGATGAATGAGAAATGAACATCGTTCATCAAAAAATGGTGGTAACAAACAGGTCGGAGATCACGGTTGAGTAAGTCCAGTTAGATCTCTGGACCCAGAGCAGCTCGGTATCATTTTCTCCATATAGTGGATCCCCAATCACGCCAGCTGCAAAGAGATCCAGGTGTGCCTGGGATGGTGCAGAACCAGGGACTGTGATGTTTGGGCCTGTCAAGGTCCAATTTTCGTTACCAAGATCGATTATATCCTGGGAAACGGCAAATTTTGCCAACGGTAAGATATAAGATAATGTCTTCATGCTGACTTGAACTCGAAGATTGAAGGTTTCCAAGTGCCAGCGCCCATTTTTGCGTGTCGAGTATTTTTATTTCCAAGTTTTTTGGTTCATTGAGGGGTTGGAATCGCATTGACTTTGGGGTAGTATCCCATCGGACATTTAAAGGCGATATTGAAACTAGCTAAACCTCTCTGAGCTCGGGTCAGGCTGCTGAAGATGATCATTTCCTAAAAAAAGGCTCGGGAATCGCACATGGAGGTCTCCATACCGACTGTTCATTGCACCTACTACGTATTAGGGCCAAGCATTTCTGCTGTAACCGGAGCTCCATTTGAAGATACTGTGGATGTAGACTCTCCTATTTTTCTTGGGAATTTTAAGCACATTCGTTGTCAAAACAGACCCAGGACGCTCGTGGTTGATATATATATATATTTTGGAAATTTGTACAGGATATTCGATATCTCGTTAAGCTGCTCGACTCGAATACTATGCCCCATGTAAAACAAAAGCAAGCTCCTCCATATCTTGAAGCAAACAAAGCGAGCAAATGTTGACATTCCTAAGTCCGTTCCGACTTGGGACTACCCCGCGTGGGGACTCGGTCTTTATTTCGCCGAAGGATTACGACGGGGCCCCAGTCTGGGGCAAAAGCTTGAGTGGCCATGGCGCTGGTGTCAGTGCGCTCGGCCTAGACACCGATTTTGACCCCTTGTCTTGATTTATCTTTCATGATTGAACATGCCTCTAGGTGAGGTCTATTCTGTTTATCTCTGAAATAGTGTGCTTCCGTCCTCGAAAGGCCCTGCTCATTCACCCATGAACAAAGAATAAGTAGTCGAGCACCTGGGCAAATAATTGAACTTCTCAGATCCGACTCAAATTTCAACAATCTAGCTCCACATTGAGTGATTAATTTTCAACGATGAGGCCGATCTTTGCCAAACGGTAACCTTGCAGGAATGTAACGATGTTTCTGCCGATCTCCATGATGGACAGATAAATACATCTGTACTTCTTCCCGTCGCCAACATGAATCAATCTACAGCAAGTTAAGGCATTGTTTTTTTTTCTTCACTGAGGATTCCCAGTATGGTTGGTGTTTCCCATCTTTTGCTGGCCCTAGCGGCAGTCGCCAGCGCTGCCTCTTCAGCTTCATCCGGGAATACCTGCAAGAAGGTTCAGCATGACTTCCCCAAGGGTACGAACAAAAACGACCCTCGTGCCGAAGCTGTAAAGCAGGCGTATGCACGCGAGTGGCGCGAATACTCCAAATATGCTTTCCCGAATGATGAGCTTCTACCCCTGACCCACAACTATACCGATGATCTCTTTGGATGGGGTGCTAGTGTTGTTGATGGAATCGACACTGCGATAATCATGGGTCTCACGGATATCGTGGAGCAGCAGCTGAAGCATATCGCCTCAGTCGACTTCACGTAGGTTACAAACCGGGGAAGGAATCGGGCACACATCCATATACTAACTTTTTATTAGGAAGTCTCCTGATATCGTTAACTTCTTCGACATCAACATTCGTTATCTCGGCGGGTAAGGCTCACTCTTTCCTAAATTGGATCAGAAACTAAATTTTTGTAGCCTTCTAAGCGCTTATGACTTGATCAAAAGCGGCCGCTTTCCCAATCCGTACGATGAAAAGCTTGTTGAGGCCTTGCTATCCCAGGCCAAGTCCCTGGCTACCGCCATCAGCCCGGTATTTGACACTGCCTCTGGCCTGCCTGCCTCTACCATGAACTTTTCGACTGGCGAAATTATGAAGAGCACGACGGCTGTCAATGGTACTAAGTACAACAGTACCAATACTGCACAAGCTGGAACTATGATTCTAGAGTACTACAGACTGTCTGATTTAACTGGAGATGAATCATTCCGTCAAAATGTATGGCTAAAATATGCCCCGGGAGTTGACAAGACAAAATCAGATGCTGACACTTTGAATAACATAGGCTCAAAAAGCCGAAAAGTACTTGATTAACCCTCAGCCTGCGCCGGCTTTCCCCGGTCTGGTGGGCACTGAGCTTAACACTGAAACGGGCAAATTTATCACTCTCGATGGTGGCTGGGAAGCTGGTGTCGACAGTTTCATTGAGGTGAGCAACGTCTCAAATCAGGTCTTGACCTTGACTAACTTCTCCAAGTACCTCATCAAAACTTACATCTACGACCCAGAAGATGATATGGTTGAGCAGTTGAAAGACTTCTGGCTTTTGACCGTCGAGTCAAGCAAAGAAAATATCGCGCTTAGTCCCTATAAAAGACCGGAACTCACTTTCCTGTCGCAGCTTGACGAGAATGGTACCATCATGTGGTCAATGGATGATTATGTTAGTCCATCGTTTTCATCCAAGAAGGGTACTCTGATCTAAACAATTTTCTTAGGCATGCTTTGCCGGTGGCAATCTATTGCTCGGTGGAGCTTATCTTGATCGACCAGATATCTCAGAGTTGGGCGTGAAAGTGACTGACAGCTGCCATTGGCTGTATAACACGACAGTTACTGGACTTGGACCATCAAGTATGCATTGGAATAATTTCTTTCTATAATCGGGCTAATATTTCCTAGCAATCGCCTGGTACAACGAGCACAACAGAGCATACGACAAGTCTTACAACAAGAACGCCACCCTTCGCTCATACGCTGCCAAGTACGGATATTTTATTGAAGACCCATCATATCGCTCGTACCCAGAGCCGCTCGAGAGTATCTGGTATGCCTACCGTATCACCGGCGACACACGCTGGCAGGACTACAACTGGGAGATTTTCCAAGCGTTGAACACCACTCGCTCGAAGTCAGTCCCTTACGCTGAAATCACTGATGTCAATGCTCCATATGGCGGGGACTTGGTCAACTATGTTTCCAGCTTCTACTTTGCCGAAGTCCTCAAGTATCTCTACCTCACATTCACCGAGCCAGATGTCGTTAGCCTGGACGACTTTGTGTTCAATACTGAGTGTCACCCCATGCTGAAGAAGAACGCTTGCTAATCTTCTCATCACTTAATCTCGGCGTTGGAATGGAGTGCGCGGTACTACCTAGTAGTCAGAGTGCAGCATATATGAGGTATGAATCTTCAACCTTGGAAGTTTTCAGCATATAGTTCTGGATTAGGGGGAACGGCAACAGAAATCTCTACGCAGGTGAATTGAGATCAATGCAATGCAATTCCAGCTTAAAGTCGGACACATGACCCAATATTGGAACATCAAGTTCAGAATTGTTTGACTCCAGGGCTATTCTAGGTTATTCCAGCAGCGAGCAGTAGACTTTCCAAATATATACCACTGAAAACCCTCATAATTTCCACTGAAAAGGCGGCAACATTCAAAAAACGGTAAATTTCAACCTTGGAACTATAAGAGAGTCAACATGAATTATCCTCTTCCTTATTGAATCTTTTTTATTCTTCTCCTAGCATTCAAATCGAGGTTTTGGAGTCTCCAGATCAAGCGTAGAGTGAACATCCGAGATCAACATCCCAATGTCAGCCTAGGGTAGCCAAGCACATGGCAATGGGCCCACGTGCTTTACACAACTATAATCATCACACTCTCTATCCTACACTCAAGATGGGGTTTGCGACGAACCCCAAAAGACAAAGAGCATTTCATCCCCTCACCTTGAAATGACATCAGGCATCAGGACCGGAGACATTCAATATCCCGTCGGAATTTCTGCCAATTCAAGAAAAAAAAAGCCTCTGAGGTCATCCAAGACCACGCACGAGCACCAACTTCCCTAGCGTGAAGAGCTCCAACTATGATCGACCTTCGATCCAACAGCGGTTATAGGGCCTAATCTTGAAATCCAGACCACATGGCCAGAATGGTATGGAGATCTCCAGACCGACGTGCAGATGAGGAAGAAACATAACCACAACCACAGTGTGCACGTGTACGCGGCGGTGATCGTCGCTCCAAAGTGGTTTAGAGGCGCGAACCATCCGAAGACGTAGGTCAAATGAAGCGTTTCGAAGGGATACCTGCACTAGGTACACAATGAGTACATCTCAGTTACTACTGTAGGCTACCGTACTAGGCTACCGTCGGTGCCTGAACGAAGAGCGGGAGATCGAAGTACTAGTACTAGCAGGAGTATGCTGGCTCGGCCAATTCCCGACCAGGACCGATCTCTTTTACTCCGTACTCCGTGTCCGTACATGACATCGGATTCTGACGGCGGAAACGGAAATTGTCATGGAGGTCCTTTTTACAGAAACTAAAAGTGTCGGTCTTTGCGGGGGCGCTTCGGGCTTAAGCCGCCGCGTTGGCGTTGGCGTTTGTTGGTTGGCAAATCCACCCACATCTCGCAGCACGACTCGTCGACATTCTGCAGCACCACTGCAGTATTTCTGCAAGGCCGCCCTAGGTACCTAAATTCTCCCACTGGTTTGTACAACATATCTCCTCTACGAATAATAACTGTTCCTCGAACCAACAGCGCCAACGGCGATGACTTGGACCTTCTGGCCCAGCGTCAGGGACATGATGTCATTGCGCATATGGCGATTGCTGGCTGGGGATCGAGATTCTCTTTCATAGGTCCTGGAGGGGCATTGCGTCAAGGGCTTGAGCTAGATTTTACTTCTTGCATCTCTCGAGCGCTGTTTGCTGCAGCTAGGTCATTGGTTGGGAGTACGAGCAGTGCGTGATTGGTTGACTGTGGATATGTTGGTTTTGCTGATCATGCAACGCAATCGGATTTCGGGTCGCGCTTTGGTTTGGCATTACAAGGACGAAACCTGGAGAGAACTTGAAAGATCTCAAATGGTGCTAATTAGGGGCTTATATCGGATTTGGGATTTGCCCCTTCATGAAGTGGAGAGCTTGGGCCTCATCAGAATATCGTTGTTACGGTGAAAATTTCCCTTTTTTTTTTCTTCTATTTTTCTTTTCATTGCTCTTACCTTTCAAGACCCATCCCTCTCTTGGCTCTCGCAACTCGAGACTTGAGACTCGTACGTATACAAGTCCCTGCAATTAAAACGTACTCGTAATCCATGGATGAGCTACATCTAGACCATCACTCTTGAATCAATTAGATTGTCGTTTGAGAATCTGCAACTGGCGCGCGATCCTTGTGGGTGTGAGGGTACATGAGTAGCTACAACGGCGATTATGATTGGCACTGTCACCGAAGGTAGCTATCGTCCGTAGTTTAGTCCTAGTCCGCCGTTCTCATGAATCTTGCCTAGGTGGATGATACGGCTTCGCAAGCATCTAACCCCATAGCCGGACCATGGGACCAAAGAAAACGATGTCCCACTATGGAGTAGTAAACTTCCCACAGAATTCGCAGGATTCACGAAAGATTGTTTAGGCAAATCTCGGGCCCGGCATACTGTCGAGCCGTGGTTGAGAAGTGAATCGTGTAGCGTTGTGGATACAAACCCTATTCCCCATTTTGATTTGATTTTTGCCCTTCGTTCATACTCCAGGAACCCTGATCCTCTTAATTTAAACCAGTGTAGATCGACATAGCTTTGTAACCTGATAGGTAGACTGTTTCAATAGTGAACGCTGGGCTTGCTCGGTTGGTTGAGTGCAGCAACGGAGTACTTTGCGATCTATGTTGGAACAAAGAGAATAACCACCGGGCGAATGAATTGTCCCGATAAGACCGAGCTACGCTGTACTCAGTACCTGGTTCGGAGTTCGGACGAAAACCGCGCAAATAGTCGTCAATTCCGCCGGGCATCGAGTCGAGATCAGCCCGTTTGCTGCCGGGAAACCGGTCTCCGACCGTGGGAAATGTTAGATCAACCTGCCCACCAACCAAAATCAAGAAATAAACGAGTTGAGGCCAGACTTGAGGAAGGTCAGTCTGCCTCCAGAAATTAGCCCTGCCCTAGAATAGTAGTATATATGGAGATAAGCGGACATATTAGCCGGTATTCACCCGAAAGGTACTCGGCCGCAGCACGTATGGCAAGTGACTGCGGTGCTATGTAGATGGCGGAGCACGCCAGTATGCGTCAGAAAGGAAGATGAAACACACGATCAACATGTGGCTTTTCGGGGAGGAGTGGGCGATCGCGTTCTTCGCGTGGTGGCCGACATAAATGCGGGTTAGGATAGTACACGCTTTGCTTTTCCGGGAGGGAGATGTGCCTTAGGGCGACTTAGTGTCAGATGGGAGATTGGGGAGGGGAAGATAAAAATAAAACCCCCCTCCAATGATCAGCACTATCCAAGCACAGTCCACGTGTAAGCAACGCTGAAACCATCATACAGACCAGTCGTAGGGCAGGTATCTACCAACAGTTACCAGGACGAGGTTAGTTCACAGCACTCGCGCAGATGATGGCTGGAGCATTGCAGTAGTGTGGACGGGGTTTACAGGATCAACCCCTGCCAGACAAATTAATCAAAAGGATCCCTGCTAGCTCATCTTGGAGCTGGTATGAAAGGAGGTTGGAACGGTCGATGTTCGTTACAATGGCATTACCTCCTGCGGATCCTATAGATTGGGGATTACAGGGTTAAGATGGCCCGTTCCCACTAGTGATTCCTGGTGGTATCGTGATCCTTCGACCATGTGGTTAACCTAGGATGTGGACCCTGCCGAGTAAATGGCGTTGAATTCAGGGAAATGAGAGTGAGACTGGACCTGGCCCGCCCGCAAAAAGGCGCAATGCACGGGTACAATCCAATGTTAACGGCTGAAGGAGCACCGCTCGGCCGTCGGGTAATCCTTTTCCTATCCCGAAACGTGCTGACATTGAGATGAAGCAGGAAAAATGCAATTACTTGCTTTTTCTTTCGCTGCATGCCATTCGACCCTTACGGATCAGCTGCCCCTCCTCATGACTCCCCCTGAGCATGTACATAAGTTCCTCACTAGGGTCGACCCGTTGGGATGGTTGAACAAATCCTTTGGATTTACCGGCAAAACCGGTAAAACAAGAAAAGGGGGGGAAAGAACAGAAAAACAGTCTCCCACAAGAGGATCTCCCAAAAAAGGGCGTACATACATACATACAGCGCCCGCAGCAGGGTACTTGACGCCGGCCTTTCGGATATGCCACGCTCCGAAGAACCAACATCAAATCTTCATCCTCATTGGCCAAATATCAATCCCAGCTAGTATGAGTGCGACAATGGTTGATTGCCCTGCCCCTGAGGTAGAATAGATTACAGATTGCTTTCAGGTGGGTTTTCCTGAATCTGCCTTGCCTTGCTGAAGCCGCATGGCCTGATCAACATCTGCAATACTGAGACATCCTGCATGATATCGACCTGAAGAAGGTGCTATATGACTTGCGACTGGCTCTTAAGTACGAGTCAGAGGTGTATAGTGCTTACATTAGTTCCTAAATAGGCATAGATCGCGTATGTACGTACAACACCAAAATTACAAGCAGGTGACTACGTGACTAACCAGGTAAGCTGTACGAAATGTGGGTAACTGATCGTTTGCACACTGCCCGATTCGGCGCGGCTTTTGAAGCACGAGCGCCGCCGCGCCGTTCCTTGGCAATGTGCCTGGTACCTTGGTCTGATGTGGACAATAGAAAGTCAGGAGAGCAATATGTACGAAGTAGAGTTTATTAACCCACAAGCACTAAACAGAATGCTTACTATGGGGCAATTGCAGAAGCCCATTGCTACTACGGAGTACATAGTAACACTACGGGCCGTGGATTTAACTTTGGTTGGGCTGAGTTTCTTGCAGTGCTCCATAGACCACTGTCTTATGGGTATTTAAGCGTTGTGATCTTACCACCGTCTGATCTGTGCAGATGGTGGGGAGTGCGTAATTCAAGTCCTAGCTCTTGCAAGTTCTCTTGGTTCCCCAGAAAAGCATCGTGGAGGTCTAGGCCATCCAAAATGGTGGCTCAAGAGAGACCTGAGCAATGGGGATGAGGTTGATTTCTATTTCGGTACGGAGTACGGACTATGCAGTGCGAATATGCCTTGGTTGACTGTCATTTGTGAGTTCAAAATGATTCATGATGAATATCCATCCATGCTGGTCGCCTTCGTCA